CCAGCAGCAAAACCCCGAGCTCATAGAGCAACTAAGGAACCATGTTCGGAGCAGATCTTTCAGTGGCAGCACCGAAGAGCATTCCTGATTTGAGAGGCATGCACCAGAGCGCTGTTCTGCAAATTTTAAAAGGCATCCTGTAGCTAGTAGCAAATATCACCATTGTAATTCTTCTCAGACATGAGGCGGAAAATCCTTTGTGCGTATTCCTTCTTGTCTGGTGAAAACAGATTCATTGCACACAGATCTGAACATATCATGTATGTATATTGATGCCTTTGTAAATGGACTATAACTAGAACTGTCGACATTAAAATCTTTATGTTAAAAAGGGACCATTTTCATATCAATGAGCAACAGTGCGATTTTTCATTCTCTTTGAGAGAATGGGGTTTTAGCACCAACACACTGCACTGGTAAAAAGGATCCAGTATGGTGGCAGTGGAATGGTGAAATCGCACTTAATCGACCATGCAGTCCTATGTAAAAATTGTATTCAACATATATTCTATAAGGCAGTCGTTCTCAAGCTGGAGAGTGGGCTCCCCGTACACGACTCGGAGCTGCAAACTGTTTTGCATGTCAAATTGGCAATAAACCCATACAAATAGAGCCAAAGTTCAGATAGTTACTTCCTTGTAATTGTTGAAAGGAAGGAATAGAATAATGGATCTAATTAGTGGAATTGTTTCTGCCTGAGGTCACATGGCAGAAGACAGAAAAGATGTGTTTGAGAGAGCAGGAGTGGGAGGAAAAGGAAAATGGGCCTGGTCGTAGGAGCAGGAACCTGAAACGAGGCAGGATTGATGGGTCTATGAGCTTGGCAGGCACTGCCAGGTTGGTTTGTTGGTTGATAAGCATGGGCTACCTATTATATTTTTAGAGAGGATGCTACTTCAACTTTCAGATGTGGCTCATAAAAGTGCTCATTGGCCCAGCTGGCAAGAAGGACGCATAACCTCCTTTTCTACAGTTATTTTATAAACTGGATTTGCACAGCAATGTGTCTGTATTGTGATGAATGTATTGAAAAGGAATGTGGAAAGGAAATTATGAAAGCCATAAAATGAGACTTGTTGAATGAACAATGGAACCTCAAATTGCCGTGGACAAGTAGTGGGCAGGGTGACTTTAGAAGGGCTAGACAGAAGAGTTGTCCCAAAATGTTCCAAGAGAAAACTCTGTAGACACTACAGAACGAGATTGGGACAGGAACAGCTCGTACGATATTTACTATGGAATGGCACCATGTTTTCTATTAAGGCAGGAGTTTTATACTCGTGGAATTATATTAATAGTAATCTGCCTGCTTATATTATACATGGCAGTTGCATATTAGAAACTGTCTTAGGAATATCTGAGACAGCTGGAATTTGATATGTTTATGATGCTGCTGAAGAAATTCTTAGTAATACATGCGTCTTGGATTATCTAAAATTAGTGTTTTGAGCAGTGTTTCAGTTCTGGATCCTTTCCCCATTATTGCTTTTTTGCATTCTTCTGGATTTTTTTTAAGTATTCTGAATAGATTTGCTTATATATTTCTGCAGAAAGCATGAGGTCGTCTGGAAAGTGTTTTAACAGTATATTGAGATGCTGCTTCGTGGAAGGATATTGTAGAATGTCAAATAAGTGAATCAACCCAAATGCTGCAGTGCTGTTAAATTTAAGTCTTTTCATCAACTACTCACTTTAAAAAAGCAACAATTTAAAAGGTCTTTACTCTGAATATATTTGTCACCACTTATGTGTCCTTTTTGAAATGTTCTCCCCTCCTGTCTCCAGTAACTTTTCATGAATTTCAGTAGCATTGGGACATATGTGACCTAGTATATAAAGCACGAAATGCAAAAGCAGGAGCTGCTAAAGAAATGGGATACGAATTACGTTCCGAATGTACAATTTGCAGTTCAATATTCTGACTATTCAGATCATTAACAGAATCTGGATAATTGACTTTTCAATCCATTACAGATGACAGCAAATTTACACTAGTGTCCTGCAGTGAGCTGGCTCTTTTAACCACTTCAGGGTTAACTCGGCTGCTTGGATACTAGAGAGAGAGATCACTGCTGTCTCCTTCATGGCTCCTGCCTGTGATTACATTACTGAGTATCTATTCAGTAGTCCTACCTAAACATCCAGGTAAGATGTCTTGAAAGCTTAAAACACTGGGCAGAGCTGTAGCAGAGCACTAGCACTTGACTCTGCAAGGCCAGGCTGAGTGTTTTCCCAACCAATGTACATTTCAGAAAGCGACACTTTAAGCAGAACTATTCATTCTCCATTCTAATTCATTCTCAGTATTTCATCGACGATAAATGGATCAGTGTTGTGATGTTTGGAATAAGTTTAATAAAAGGTATTTTAAAAAATACAACATATTTTACTGTTTTCGAAGTGTTTTCTTCCCATTCCTTATTTCACAAAGAAATTGACTAAACTGTACTGAGTTACTCTAAACTAAAGTCAGGATAATACTAGAGACTAGCATCTCGTACTCCTGCAAAGGATTGTTGCCTTATTGCGGTGCTGGAGCTTGACCACCTCAATGACTCAACGAGCAAAACCATGAAGGGACATCAAAGAGGGGAATGTCATGGTTGAGAGGTTAAACTAAATACAATCCCTGGGGAAGGCAACCAGACATACTGATAACTGGCAAATAGAGGGAGAAAACATGGAGGCAATTACAGACTTTGTATTTCTAGGCGTGAAAATTACTGCAGACGCATACTGCAGCCAGGATATCAGATGTTTACTTCTTGGGAGGAGAGTAATCTAGATAAAATAGTGAAGAGTAGGGACATCACACTGGCAATGAACATCTGCAAAGTTCAGTGCTATGGAATCCTGGGATTTGTACTTTGATAAGGCACCTGTACTCTGGCTGAGAAGGCTAATGCCCTTGAAAAACTACAATTTCCATGATTCCACAGTACTGAACCACAGTACTGTGGTTAAGTTGTGTCAAACTGCATTCATTTCATAGTGTTGGTGCACTCTTAAGTTTTTGGGGTGCACAGATAAGCGATTCTAAAAGCACGGATTTTTTCCCTCTTCAATTTCCGGTTGCATTGGTAGGAATAATTCTATCTGTGGAATAATTCAATGAATTCCGGCTACAGCTTCTATATTTCATGTTTACTGCTGAAAGAGGACAAATGAAGGTTTGTGGGTAGAGCTACATGAAAAAAAAATTCTATTGTTGCTTTTTTGTAAGCTAGCCACTAAGATATCATTTATGGGATTTAGAATTTGCCATTATGTTATCCAGCCTACTTTTGGATAATCGGCTCTCAGAGGTTTACAGTCTGTTATGCAATTGGCACTTCAGTACAGCGGTCCTTTCTTTAGTTAACAATGGCTGTTCTAAAGTAGAACATTTGTGTTACATAAAAGAGGCCACAACACAATACAAATAAAAGCCACAAAAACTCACAAGATTGCAGATACCAAACAGTGCACAATGTTATGGTAAAAAAGGCTTCAGTTAACTTGAAAATCAGTAATTTGTGTAGGGAAAAGCTGGAAGTCTGTTTGGATACAAAACTGTTTTCATTTGCCAGTAAGGAAATAGCAGGTAGATCTCCTTTTAGTTGAAGATCCACAGTCCTGGTGCTACAATGAAGGAGGTCTCACCATCTTTAGGTTCACACAAAGAGACAAACTGAAGTAAGGCATATCTATCATTTTTCAGGGTACACAGACAAATAATAAGCAGCATGTAGGACAGTGGTTCTCAACCTGTGGGTCCCCAGATGTTTTGGCCTTCAACTCCCAGAAATCCTAACAGCTGGTAAACTGGCTGGGATTTCTGGGAGTTGTAGGCCAAAACACCTGGGGACCCACAGGTTGAGAACCACTGATGTAGGACTCTATAAACATTTATGCACTTAATGAAATTAATATGCATCTGCCAAGGAAGTAGTACAGTTCAAAGTGAAAGAAAGAATGCCCTTTGTAACAAATTGTTTTCACGGAACATACGATTGGTATGGGTAATCTGCCACTTACTTTAGATCAGTGTTTCCCAACCTTTTTTTGACCAGGAACCACTTTGACCAGGGACCACTCTCCAACATTAATACCAAAAGGGTTGCAAATCAGCTTTTGGTCAACTTTCGATTTGTTTGGTTATTTGGGGAGCTGATCAGAAAATTGCATTGGATAGACTATATCAGCTCTTGTTTCTGATACAAAACATGCCATCCAGTGGTTGTCATCTGCTCGCCCACAGAAAACCATATTAAATAATCTAGAGCTGATATGGTAGTAGTAATCTTTCGTGGGTAGTCATCCTCTCCCCTCCTGACATGCCCGTTGCCTCGGCACTGTAAGAGGGTTCCGCAAGACCAGTCATTCTCGTTGCCATGTGGTTTTGAGACAATCGTGTAGTAATGGTAAGGCCACGGACCACATTTTCGTTATTGCGAACCACTGCTGGTCCACAGTGTTATTCACTGATTTCAATGGTTTAAAGTCATATGAGGCAAATCTATGGAAGTTAAACTCCATCATGGTTAGCTAACATGATAATGTATAGAGCATGCCAAGTAGGTTTTTTTGGACTTTTTTTTTACTGTCTTTCCACCCCACATAACATATATTGAATGCCCAATATATTAAGAACAAAGTGAATATATGTAATACTTTGGCCTGAATCCTATTGCTGCACTCAAGTATAGTGGATGCTCTGAATTGGTGAGAATTACATCTTGACTCACTATTCAGTCAATGACTCTACACTAGTAAGGTCTAACCATTATGTTCAGACCTTTATTTTCCTAAAGTATAAAACCTAGTCTTAAAATGGAGAGCACAGGAGTAGGCATTCAATGGCTGTCAAATTATGAAATGCTTTTCCAGTCACTGTCTGTTCATTGATTTGTACTTTTCTACTGTTTAGAATAGAGAGATTTCTTTTCAGGAGTTTAATAAAAACACAAGTCAATATAAGATGCGCTGCACAGAAATAAGATTCAACTAAAATAGCTGCCTAATTGGACTAAAGGCTTTATTTACAACTCAATTAAAATACATGTGCTTGATTCTTTGCAATTATTTAAAACATTGTGAAAGATGACAGATTGAATTCCAGAGGAACAGTTAAATAAAGAAGTTTTCTCTCCCTCCCCGCTTATAGTTGGATGCAGTCTGGCATATTCATTATGTTGTTGGTCCAAAACTTCTGGCAGGACATATTAAAATAATTTATTTTCAGTTTTCTTTTATGTTTGATGAAACCACACAGACTTGTGCAATGTCGTCATACTCATATGTTCTCTTCAAAAAGGTGTCTGTCAATCTCAAGCCAGAGACACTCTGAAACGGAAGAAAAAGAGAAAGAACAACAGAGATTCTAAGCTTGTCTGAGACAGATATGCATCCAAATTAAAAGGAAAGCCACACAGAGGGAGCTCTTACTTGTAGTCCCTGCACCGAAGACAGCAGTGTAAGTGTCAAGTGGAGGGAGGACGTGGGGTGCAATTTGCCCAGCTGCCTCCCAGACACACCACACCAGTGAATGGAATTAGTGTTGCACATTTCCAAAACAAGGTCCATAGTCCTTTCACTGCTGGATGGAAAAGAGAATCATTAACATAGATATCTATTTTTCTATAGACTGGTTCACTCCTGATTCCTTGCCTCTCCATGCCATCTATTTTTCAACTAACTGGACAGTGATCGTCACCCAAAATGCATTTCAACAATGTGCTTTACTGAATACTTAATGAAACTCAGTTGAAGGGGGTAAAAATATTTAATTTTTTCTTGCATCAAGACATTGGTATCTTCTTCCATATTTATAATGTTGTAAGTAAGGTAGACACAGAATCCCATAAATGTTGGTATTCATAGCAAGTCACAATTGCTATAATTGCAGATGCCCCATAAAACTCACCTTAAAAGCCAGGCAGCCAAACTAATCAACGTTCAGCGACTTGATAGCATCACTGAAGAGGTATGACACATCCAATCCTCACCTGCACAGCAGCAGTGTCTTTTTACAGCACCCCATTTGCCAGCACTGAAAACTCTGCTAGACTTTTAAGGTGGGTTTTAGCTATCTCTCTCATGTGAGATCTCATGGGAGTGTTGTTTTTTACCAATGCAAAATATACATTGTTCAGTATATATCATTTTCAGTTCAAAGTCCTGCAAATCTAACACACCAATACACAGCATTTGCCGATCGAATGACAGTGTCATACATCACATGCAACAGATTAGATTAGCATGGATCAGGGTTTTGCTCTCCTTTCCCAAGGATGGGGGAGTGAAATATACCTACTAACATTATTTCTGGATTCTAAAACCTGCAGTCAGGAAGTGGGGAGAGGCTATGTGTATTCAGAAATAAAAATTTCTACCAGCTTGACCAACCCCCCAAAAAACATTTTAATATGTCAGTCATTTTCTTCTGCAGTGCATGATAATGTTAATTCAAAGCACAGATCTGTACAATATTTTAATGCATCCAAGAAGTTTACAGGTTGTGTAATTGCTACAAATTTTTCCAATTTGCCAAGAGGAAGGGAAAGAGTAATTTCATTACCTGCAGTTTGTTATTTTACATGTAATATCAAATGGTTCTTCCAAGTTTACTGTGTCTGGTATGGTCTCCAATGAAAGCCTCACATCTCCATAACCTGGAGCCTGAGAAGATATTGAAAGTTCACCATAAGCAATGTTTGGTAATGTGTTGGGATTGTCAAATGAAATTATCAAGCTAAGTACAACAGTATGCTGAACTACAGTAGATCTGTATAGCATGCTGAAATATAGTAGGGCTGGCTGCATTTCTGTTCACTGAGAAAGGAAACTGACTTCTCTCTCTGGAAAAAAATGCAGCCAGGCTTTGGTCAATTCTCTCTACAGAGGAGAGAAACTGACTGATTTCTTTCTTGGTGGAGAAAAGTGCATAGCTGGGCTTCCTGCTAGATTTGGCACCCAGAGAGCTTTTGGGGACTCAACACAGGCAGACTGCACCCCAAGATATGTGTGAATTATGTCAGCAAGGAAACACTCTTTTTTCTTCCACTCATACTGTAAGTTGGGTTACCTTTTAGGTTTCTTTTTGCCTTGTTTATGCTTTTGGAGCTGCAAAGATGAATTGAAAAGTAATGTATTATGAAAATAAATGTTTTTTCCATGAAGGGAGCTAATGTAAGTACAAATAAAGGTAAGATGATGGTAATAACAATCTTAAAACAATAACAATGCATCACATAAATCCAGAGAGCATGGCTTCTCCAACTCCAAAGGGAGAGAGCAAGCATGTATCCTAAAACACACCCAGTTATACTCTACTAGGTGTGGCCCAAACTTATTGGCCCTAATTTTTTTTTTGTCATCTCAGGAGCGACTTGAGAAACTGCAAGTTGCTTCTGGTGTGAGAGAACGAGCACCTGCATATAATGACCACCAGAATGAGTTTTTTCCCCCAGTGTCATTTGCCATAACTACTTAACATGAAAAGAATACCAGTGGCAAATTGTTTTACATATAATAGCTGTGATCTCTGTAATTGAAGAAGATGCACAACCCTCATCTCTGATAATTACTTTGACAAGCATTCTTGAAAAAGTATATAGAACTCAATTGCAGCCTTGGAAGCCAGTAAGCCAACTCCTAGAAAATCCAAATGGATTCAGACCAATTCAGATCAACAGGCACAAGGCCAAGAACCTTCCATCTTCTACAACATGATAAGAAGAATCATAGTTTCAATAATATGGAATACTAATTCATTATCCAGATATTAATTTTAAAGAGAATATTCTGGAAAAGACATACCATTCTTTGCAACTGACTTGTCTGCAACCTTCCCCTTTCACCCAAATTTGTCTTCCAAACTATGTCCAGTTTCCCAATAACAGTGACTCCTTTAATCACTCCAGCTTTCTCTGCAAACTCTTGCTTAGGTTTAAGACAATATAAATACTGCCGCGTATCCATGGGCTGTAAATATGTCCTTGTGCCAAATGTTGAGATACTAGGAAAAGAAGAAACATGCTTGACTTAGCGTAGGCTACAAGCCAGTGAAATACATGCTTATTTTGCAGTGGTATATTTGCTAATTTTCACAGACATTTTCTCCATTGCGACTCATGGCAGGAAAAGAGCAAAATCTAAAATGGGAGTACTGTCCCATGTTTTGCTGGGAAACAAGACATGGGAAGAATCATTATGTCAGCAAACTGTTTCCCAGCAAAAACCCATGAGCCCACCAAACAGCACTTTGTTGAACTTACAGATACCCAATTTTGCTGGAAAACTGCATCCACAGCTCTTGTTCTGTACCCCACTGGTAACGTGTGGGCGTGTGTGTGATTAGATGGGCTAAGGCACCATTGCTGATCTGTGCCATGACAGAACAGCAACACAGGACAAAACTCCAAAGAACACATCACTTCTAGAGCAGGAGAACCAAAGAAGGGTGTGGATATTAAAATTTATACCACGTTGAAGACACAGAGTAAGCCTGAAGAATATATATAATAATCAAACCATTTTTTGCCAACCCCTGGGACTTTGCTCTTTGCATTAGGTGTCAATGAAAGAAGATGGAAATCACTTGCCCCTTTCAATGCTGTTGGAACTGAAGTCTCAGGAGGCCTAACCAGCACAACTGGAGGAGGAATGCTGGAGCCATACTCCAAAAATATCGGGATGGACTCCTGATTCCCACCCCTCTTGTACAGAAATGTGTCTCAAGCTATAGTTTACATTGGATGCACAAAGGAGGCACTTTTTCTGGTCAATATCTTTGGAGGTCATACATATCTTGCCAAGTGCTACATAGATGCAAGCACTTAGTGCGTGCCATCAAACCACTACTCTATGTACGTACAAAAAAGCAATATGTTTTTGGATACAATATGTTCTAAATGTTACAATACCAGCAGCAGTCCAGTCACTGAAAGCAATGTAATCCAGATGCCAGAACAGCCAAATTTACAAGATATTATACTCAGGGCCCATCATTCAGAGGATGGGAAACACAGAAAGTACATGCAAGAATGGTACTATCCATTGTCAATAATGACAACACCATGCTGTAATATTGTAGACAGCACAATTTAGACATGCAAATAAGGCTCTTACCTGTCCTCAGTGTGGCTCACAGTGTTTAATTCAACAACATTATACATAATAGAAGGTTCCAAGGACACTTTCTCCATAAACATTGGAGAGGTTGTGATATTTTGAATCTGGGCTTCCAAAAAGACTTCATCAGTCTGGAAAAGTAGAGAAAATGCCGAAGTAAAACATAGTCTAAAATGATGGGTGTTCAAAGATCTTAAGTTTTGAAAAACATTAAAATCACAAAAGTAGTTAGTTTCATGCCTGAAAATCAAAATAACAGTTATTAAATGTGAGAAAGTCTTGATCCCAAAAGAGAGGAATAGAAGCAAAAATGTTAGTCAACTGGAATAGTGCTGAAAAATGGATGTGGGATAGTTTTGGTATGTTTTCCTATTTCAAGTGTAATGTCTCTATGGCCTAACAGGACTTGCAATTTGAGCTCCAAGGGTTCACATCAACTCAGATTTTTACATTAAAAGTAAATATTTTAGAAATGTGCAATACGCAATGTAGACATGCCATGCCAGATGAATCAGGCTGCATACAAGGAAGATATATGGTCATTAATAGGGAGAGGCTTCTTTATATATATATATATATAAAAAACATGTCAACTGTCACAGGGACTTAGATGCATGCTATGAGTACAGGGCAGGATTACTTACACACAAAAATGGTTTATGTTTTTCAAAATAACTTATTTATTGTCTCCTTTTTTATTATGTCAGAAGCGACTTGAGAAACTGCAAGTTGCTTCTGGTGTGAGAGAATTGGCCGTCTGTAGAGACGTTGCCCAGGGAACACCTGGATTTGTTACCATCTTGTGGGAGGCTTCTCTCATGTCCCCACATGGGAAGCTGGAGCTGATAGGCGGGAGCTCACCCTATCTCATGGATTTAAACCACCGACCTTCAGGTCAGCAGTTCAGCCGACACAAGGGTTTAACCCATTGCACCACCATGGCTCCTTATTGTCTCCTTCAAAACTGACTCCAAAAAAATCTGGTCCTGTGGCCAGTCTGCTCAAAGCAGTTCACTGGATGTCAACTAAAAGCAAATCTCACTGATCTGATGAGTATATAAGATTGCAGGCCAAAAATAGCATTGTCAAGATATATAGAAGTATCTTAGCAATACTTTAAATATTGCTTTCTGCATTTCTTTATTTCCTACTTTAGAAAATTAAACTTTTGTACCAAGCACAAAACACAATGTTAAGGAGAATGGGAAGGAATATGCATGTTTGCCATACATTACTTAGAAATACTGCATATATTCATGTATAAGTCTAGAAATTTTAGTAGAAACATTAACCAAAAAAGTGAGAGTTTAATCCATCCTGGGAGAACCTAAAACAAGCGCTCTTCCCCTCTACTCTTTCTTCTAAAGCATCATTTCTGACCTTTCTGAATGTTGGTGAGGAAGTGGCAGTGGCAGCTGGCCCCTATGGCAGCACTGATGCCTTCCCCCTGCATGGAATGACGTTCAACTTAGTCATAAGTCATATTAAAATCCATAATTTTGGCCCCAAAATTGGCCCTTGACTTATATATGAAGTTAATTTATACACAAGTATATATGGTAAGTTAGGCATCCTCAAATTCTGGCCCTCCAGCTGTTTGGGCCTCCAACTCCCAGAAGCCCTGGCCAGCTTGTTCAATGGTCAGGAATTATGGGACCTGGAAACCCAAACAGCTGGAGGGCCAGAGTTTGAGGATGCCTGCGGTAAGTGATGAAAATTAATCTTGCCTGACTCTTTAATGATGGCTATTAGGATCTCAGAATTCCAAAAAACAAACAAAAAAACAAAAACAAAAAAAAAAACCCCAATACACATTACCTGCATATTTGGAAGTGTCAACTGAATGATGTCCCTTAACAAGGGATACAACCCTGTGATTTCTGTAGCAGGGATGTACTATTCTAATGTTTTGCAAGACCTTAGCCCTATGAAACATAACAAAATATCCAGCAATTCAAAGCTGGAATCAAAACCTGCTTAAGATCAAAGGATATCAACATGATCGAGATAAAGAGAAAAACTCTCACATCACACCTTGTAACAAACATGTATAGTTCCTATGGAAACTAAAGGTACACTAGCAAACACAATACTATTGCTGAGAAAATGATAGCACCTTCGACTCAGAAGAAAACTAATTTGGAAGTATTTGCTGAGTAGCAATACTGAATTAAAAGAAATTGCAATCTTCAGATGTTAAGTGCAAAGAACCTTCAGAAGACAAGACACAGGACTGGTTCTGAAAGTAATGCTAAGTGACAGTATGGAGCCAAAAGCTCATTTTACATTGTTCTCATAATACTGAAATGTTATGAGAACGATGTAAAATGAGCCTTTGGCTCCATACTTCTCTTCCTTTTCCTCTATGAACACAAAAAAGTTCCTTCTATTTTAGATTAATCACAGCATGCTGTGTTGTCTGGATACAGAATGAGTTAAATTAATCTTAATTATGGTTAGTGGAAACAAACCAGCTTCAAACCATTTTCTGTGGCTTCTTTCTACTAACCATAAATAAGATTGACTGGAATATGACATGCTAAACTGGTTCTCTAAAATGCCTCTCTTTCACTCACTGCAGCCACCTTAAAGGATCGGAGGGGAAGAACGCCAATTAGAGGCTCATTCTCAAAACGTTAAATTGAATTCAACTATATACAAGAAGAACATCAGTGACAACATTTGGCTATTTTACCATAAACATAAAAAATCTAAGTTGCTACAGGGTCTTCCAACACCAGGGATTTAATATTTTGTAGTATTCTGGAAGAATAGAATATCCCATTAATCCATTGCTTATGTTTTTATTTTCCAAGTGTCCCATACATTTGAAAACAGCCACATTAGGAAAAATAGCAACAGCTAATTTCAGGGAAGAAAACAAACTCAAGCAGCATCATGAAAAAGCAAGGTAGTTTATGATGAGTCCCAATAATAGGATTAGATTGGGGTGTTTCACAGCAGATTTGCTAAATTATTATGCCACACACAGCAAGATTTGTGTTAAAACCAAACTGGAATTACATCATTAGAATAATTGTCACATGCAATCAAGGATTTAGAAGCAGAATTCTAATAAGCATGCATAAGAAAACAAAGTAGGCATTAGGCTCTCTCCTACCATCCAGTGTCTTCGTGAGACAGAAACCATGTTTTGTTTTTTTTTCGTGTCAGGAGCGACTTGAGAAACTGCGAGTTGCTTCTGGTGTGAGAGAACTGACCATCTGCAAGGACGTTGCCCAGGGACGCCCGGATGTTTTACCATCCTTGTGGAAAGCTTCTCTCATGTCCCCGCATGAGGAGCTGGAGCTGACAGGGGGAGCTCATCCGCGCTCTCCCCAGATTTGAACCTGTGACCTGTCAGTCTTCAGTCCTGCTAGCACAAGGGTTTAACCCATTGTGCCACCGGGGACTCCAGAAACCAAGTTATGACAACATGAAACAAACCTACATGCACACTAGGTGGTACTTCATGCTACTAACTCTACCCGCATACAAAATAAAGACTCCTGTATTCAGGCAGCCCAACAAGTAGAAGCTAAATAGTGGCTAGTAGATTTAAGGTAAAATGATGTGCAAAATCTTGACCTATTTATTTTGGCAATATGGTTTATCTGACAAAAAGAAACACTGATACTTTCAACCTTCTAAAAATACAATAGGTTTTACAATATTTGGAATATTATTTTACCTTCTTGACATACCATGAAGCAAAAGACAGCCCTCTTATGTGTGAACATAATTTCCATGTGCAGAAGGGCACCTCAGCCCCCAACCCTAATTTCAAACTATTTCTTAGAATTGTGCTTAACTTATTCGCCTTGTTTATTTATTATTTATTATTTATTTCCAGCATTTCTACCCTGTCCTTCTCAACCCCCGAAGGAGGACTCAGGGCGGCTTCCAACGGCAGAAATTCAATGCCAACAACATACAAAATACATTACAACAATATTATAAAACAGATAAAACATTGATTAAAATACATTAAAACCTTATTATTATTCATCAAATAGCCAGAGCCAGATCTAGTTTAGCGACTAATGAATTAGTCCAAAGCCTGTCCTTGTAAGAGTTCAAACATTGTAAATACTACTGTCCAAATGCCTGGTCCCAGAACCATGTTTTCAGCTTCTTTCTAAAAGAGAGGAGGGATGAGGCCAACCTAATTGCGCCAGGGAGACCATCTGGAAATTGTTTAGCTGTGGGGAAGGAGTAGGATTTATGCAGGATCATGGAAGCCCATTACTAAGCACCTGAAACCTTAACCAAACTCCTGTCTGGCTTCTGGGATGTCTGCATGTATTAGCCACACATCTGCATACCACGGTAAGGCCTAAAATCTCAAGAAGACAAGTCACATACTCTCACAGAATGGCAACAGGAAGAGGCGTATCCGTGCATAACATCATATGCTACTTCAAAGAAAAGGAATCAATTTGCTTGCCTTAGTACTTTAGTGAAGCAGTTGTTCACTCCTGGTGTTTGAAGTACAGTGCCACCCCTGTATTTGCGGGACCAGTGCCCATGGTTTCATTTATCCACCTTCCACAATATATGGCTTTTCTAGGCATTGTCCAAGTCACCCAGCACAACTCTAAGAAGGACAGAGGTCCTTCATTTTAAAAGTGTTCACTGTTATGCATCGTGTGTATCTACACACAGTCTGGAAATGTACCTCCTACATATACAGTGGGTCTTACTGTGCTACATACTGTTAAACAGTGGATAGTAAGGAGAGCACTAACACAGCTCAAGAGTAGCTTTGTTCCCCCTGCCAAGGTTTGGTTTGCATAGGAAAGTAAAGCACAGAATCAAATATGTCTGTGTAGATGCAACAAACATTGCTTTTTCATTATGTTTACAAAATAATGTTAGTAACAAGCAGAAAGACAAACAGAAGACAAGCATACATATATATTTATAAATAATAAATAAAATTACCACAGAACTGAGGTCACTCTAATGGGAAAATAAAAAAAGAAAAACATTAGAGAAATTAGGGTTAAATGTTAAAGAAAAAAAAAGACAACTAAGTTTCAAACAAAATGCATCTTTTTGCATTTTTTTGCATATTCTAAACAAGACAGCATTAGTAAGAGAGGAATGAGAACTGGCAATAAAAAATAAAAAGGACTAATAATAAGAAATCTTATTTGTAAATAAGACTTGTGTCAGCCAATGATATAAATGAGGAAAGAAATTATGTGGAACAGGAAACACAGTTACCACACAGTGAACACATTGGTAAATCTGTACATGCTTACAGCACAATGGCACTATTAGGCTAAGGAGTTCTATGTGGTTAAAAAAAATTAAATATCCCCCATTCCAGAATTTCATCTTTCAAGTAACTTTCTTATTGTACAGATCTAAATTGGAAGATGATTTGTTCACTGTTTAATGCCAATTTGGAACCACAAATTGGAAATAATCTGACAAGAACCACTGGAAAAGGGTTCTTGCTAAATGAACTTTCCTACCAGTTGGATATGTCGAAGAAAGCTTGTTCACTACCTTGATTATCACAATAATCAATGTACGTGGGTCTTTTTCCCTTGGATTTATTCAGCACAGTGACATTAAAAATAGTTCAACAGGCTCTGAAATTTAAATGGGTCACTGGCATGTGAAGCACAGTTTTTGTCCCTTGATTTCTCAATAATGGGGCACCACAAGTATTGCATTGCTCTTTTTGTTTCTTGACAGTTGATCTTTGCTATTCAACACATGCAGCTTTCCCAGTATGTAAATGCAGCAATGAAAAACCTATTCTGTAGTACAAAAGGTAAAGGTGTCCCCTTCACATAAAGTCTAGTTGTGTCCGACTCTGGGGGGTGGTGCTCATCTCCATTTCTAAGCCAAAGAGCCAGCGTTGTCCATAGATGCCTCCAAGCTCATGTGGCTGGCATGACTGCATGGAGCGCCATTACATTGCCCCTGGGGTGGTACCTATTGATCTACTCACATTTGTATGTTTTCAAAATGCTAGATTGGCAGAAGCTGGGACTAACAGCGGGAGCTCACCCTGCTCCCCGCCAACCTTTCAGTCAGCAAGTTCAGCAGCTCAGTGGTTTAACCCACTGTGCCACCAGAAGCTCCTGTAGTATAGCAGTCACTTACCTTATAGAGAAAACAGCAATTTCTCTTTCTCTATAGGTTAAGTTACTGCTTAACTACACCTATCCTATTTAAATAGATGCATTGAAAAGTAATCATTCCCCATTTCATTGCTGAAAACAGCTCAGCCTTTTGGAGTAAATGCCAAATAGATACATTTGGTGAAATTCAACAAAGAATGCAACAATGCTTTAAAAATGACAGTAGGGTATACAGCCACACCTTTCCCAAATGTTGATGGCAATGGTTAACAGATAGGTTAAATCAAGAAGGAGGAAAACACATATTTTACTTACTTGTTTCCCTCACTCTCACTTGGAAAAGAAGTCAAGATTATTATTCCCCTCCCCTCCCCACGAGCTGCAATACTTTGCATACTGGCATGCAGAAATTTAATGCCACAATCAAAATTCCCTTGTCGGCATTTTATGTGATCTCCGTGTCTTGTAACACAGCACGATAGGCACTTTATTTGCTTTGAGAATATATTATTTGCTGTTTCATCTAATTTCATAACAATTCTTCAAGAATTAAAATTGTGCCTCTACTTAATGTTCCAATTTTCTCCTATTTCAAGTCTACTCTACTTAACAGCTAATAAAAAGTTCAATGTTCAAGCTGTCAGCAACTTGCAAAAACATTAATAATTTAAAAAAACCTAATAAACATAAAAAGGAGAAATTTTAAATGCCTGGCTGGGAGGATAAAATGAAGTGGGCTTCTCAAAACTGCAAGCAGTATATAACACACACAGAAATTTTTTTATTAAGAACCACCTTTCCAGGTAACATAATTTTATTGTATTTAATTATTATGCTTCAAGCATTAAATTAGATGTTCTGCACTTACCTCAGCGTTGTAGAATTTAGTTTTTACATCTAGTGGCTTCAGCACCTGTTTTTTGTTAAAAAAAAGAATAAATGCTAAAGCAAGATTTATCACACTCTCCCATTAATACTACTACTAATTTACATTTGTTTCCCTTGGCTTCTATTTTTTTAAAAAAAATCAGTTTGTCCCACTTATGACTAAACTAATGAAAACTGTGTTCAAAAATACGAACATCGATATTTTAGTGAAAAGCCAAATCTTCAACCCACTTTTCCTTTGCTATGTTTAGAAACTCTTAAGGTATTATCTTTAAACCCAAAAAGATTTTAGAAAAAGAATCCAAATGCCTTTCGCAGACGACAAGTATTCTTACACGAAATGCAGGATTTTGTGAGCTAATTTTGCCAGTCTGCTTAAAATGATGATGCATTTCTGAGCAAGCAGTTTTAACTCCTAAAAGTTCTTATCAAGGAGTGTAAATCTATGCCTTTCAGGAAACTAAGACAAAGCTGTTTTTTTCCAAATGCTGCTAATAGAAGAAAGTCGGCTAGTAGCAGATCAGGTGTAAGCAATTACACTAGAAATTGTTGGCTTAGTTTTGTAATTAAAGAATGTAGCTTTAACATCCTCACTGAAGGATATTAAATAGAGCCTAAGAATGTCAAGTACCAGACACTGCATCCAAATAACAGATTAAAATAAAATGTTTGCATTAGAATTTTGAGAACAAAAAACTGTTAGTATAGTTAATTCATGTTATAGGGTTATAATTATTTTCAGTGAGATGACAACTGTGTTTTGATCTGAGGGTAGAGTAACTAAAAAGGCATTTGAACTGTTGAAGAATTTTCTTTATCTTCAGTTGCATTATCCAACTGATGAATAATTTGAAACAGTGACCACTCACACAGTAATGCTGGTTAAAACAACATTTGTCAAATTGACTTGCAATAACACCAGACATGGTGCTATCTTTCTGGCTGAGTTCCAGGACCTTTCACAGATAAACAACAGGCAAAAATTCAGTTTCCCTTATTCATGCAACTCATGCCAGGGAAATATCACTGGTTTATAATCTGCCCCTTATATAGCTACCTTGCCAAAAAGAAAGAGGCCTCTTAATCACCCTTATGGTACCCCATTACTCTGCCCATAATCCTATCAGGGCTCTGGGAATAATTATTTATTCATTTCTACCCCAAAAGCAGCATTTAAGGCTTTAGGTCAGTGGTTCTCAACCTGCGAGTCCTCGGGTGTTTTGGCCTACAACTCCCAGAAATCCCAGCCACTTTACCAACTGTTAGGATTTCTGGGAGTTGAAGGGCAAAACATTTGGGGACTCACAGGTTGAGAACCACTGCTTTAGGTCCTTTGGAGAAACTTTAAACTTTTGCTTTTCACTGAGTTAAATTCAACAGTTTTGGCCTCTTTTTCTATTTTAATTATAAATTTCCAAAACTCACTGCCTATTTTCCTATTTCATAGCTTGAAACATGGAATAAAACTGCACCAAAGAGGTTAGACGTCCCCAATATAACTTTAGAATAGATGTTGGCCTGTTTTCACTTTTGAAATTCACCAAGGCTGGGATTCTGTTCAAACTTTTTAAGTTTTTACCACCTTCACAAGGGTTTCAGAATCCTAACTTGAAGCATACTGGTTTGAAACAATTTTCACTCTTCATATCTATTGTTTTTGAAGAAGGAATAAAAGCAGATGGTGTCTTTTCAAGGCACTTTGGGATGACAGCCTAGCTTCTTTTGTGATGAAACCCACCTAGGCCATACCAGGGAATAAATAGGGAGAGAGAGTATGCAATCCTGTTGATTTTCTTGAGCCTTTTATTTCTGAAACCACCAGTATCTTTCTATACCAATCATCCCCAACAGAGTGCCCTGTGGAAATTTTGGACTACCATCAGTCCAAGATAACAGAGTCAACAGGAAGAAAAGTTGGGTGTGTTAGTTCAAAAGGTTAAATGAGACATGCCGATCACTCAGTGCAGTAGGACCTAGTGTTCTAGATCAGTGGTTCTCAACCTTTGGGTCCCCAGAGGTTTTGGCCTTCAACTCCCAGAAATCCTAACAGCTGTTAAACTGGCTAGGATTTCTGGGAGTTGTAGGCCAAAGCCCCTGGGGACCCATAGGTTGAGAACCACTGTTCTAGATGGATGGTGGTGGACTTCTACAAATAGACACTGGTACTGAACTGTCATCAATAGAAATCCAGCTTTATCTGTCATTTTCAATTCTATTTCCAGAGAGGTGGAAGCAGTTTTGGATCACAGCAGTCAACCCGAAGCTTAATTCATACAAGCTGCAATTGTTATTAGTTGGAAAACCTACTAATAACCTGGATAGATGCTTACAATTTGTTGTGGAGATGATTGCAGTCCCTCTAAAAAGTAATATATGAACACAAGGGGAATTTCCTATACTTTGTGCTATCAGAGCCAAGGGATGTCTTGCAGTAGCTTAGGCTGGTTTGTCAGCTGCAACCCTATCTGAGAAGCAAAGTTGGCTTTAATCACACACATTATAGTTGGAATGACTACCTCAAGCAGTACTACACAGTTTATTTTGAGCTGCATTTAGAATTTGGAAACTTCAAAGGGTACAGACTGTAGCCATGAAGATGATTGAAAACAAGGACTGCTGATCAAACAACATAAAATGAAATTAAATGTTGCTTGCAATGTCCAGTATACAAAATTTGGTCTTGCCAGCAACCACTAAGGCCCCTTCCACATAGTTGAATACAATCCCACATTATCTGCTTTGAAGTGGAATATATGGCAGTGTGATTAAACCAGTTCAAAGCAGATATTGTGGAATTATCTGCCTTGCTACTCTGGGTTATATGGCTGTGTGGAAGGGCCCAAAGTTCTGCTCCTCAATGCTTCTCCAGAAAGAGAACTGGGTAATGTCTTTCCCCAATTCCCGCTTTCTCTTATGCCCTTGAAAAACTGCCCCAGATAGGTGAGGATCATCTGGAAAGGTGGGAAGGGAGCTTCATCAGAAAGGGCAAATTTAAAAAGTTTTTCCCCTTCCCACCACTAGAATCCTCTGTTAGATCTCAGTTGCATCTGTGAACTGAAAGGATCCTTTCAATCACAAATGTGTAGTTAGGATCCAAGTCTAGCTTACTTGGTATCATATATTTCTTCTTGTATTTCATCTCACCAAAATTTTGAAGTGACTAGGACAAGAAAGCCGAACATGAAAGATCATCTGAAAAGGAGTCAAATGGGAACATTTCAGGTGTACTTTTTAATGTTAGGGTTTTCTACATTTATCCATATTAAGGCAGTGATGAGAAGTATAAGGAAAAGCAAATACACTGAGCCCTTTGTTCAAGGATGGGACTGAGACAAGACCAAGGAATTGGTGAAAGGAGAAGAAAACATTTGGAAACTCATCTGTTATAAGCATTAGGTAGGATGGAGAAAATGCAAGACTAAGGAAGAGTTGGTTTCAAATAGGATCCATGTTGCGAGCCTTGCCATTTCAATACCTGGAATTTGAAGAATTTTCTGAAGTACATCTTCTCACCAGTCTGGGTGGTGTAACTTACTGCACACACTAAGCTGAAAGACAGAAATCAATGTGTTAATATTGCATTAGTTCTCAGGTGACAGGAAGTTTAGGCAAAGAGCAACACATGCATATTTACAGTATACCTCCTAAAAGTTCTGAGTACATTTGGCAAAATGTCTACATTTACAGTGGTTCCCAACCTTTGGGCCTCCAGGTGTTTTGGACTTTAACTCCAAGAAATCCCAGCCAGCTTACCAGCTGTTAGGAACTGTGAGAACTGAAGTCCAAAACACCTGGAGACCCAAAGGTTGGGAACCACTGGGTGGGTACATTAAATGAAGTATTAAGTTCATGGGAATAAAGCATTAAGGGTCTCACATGTGGGTGCCTATTTCCTTTACTTCGTGGTGAATTACATCATCGATGCAACAGTCTTGTTTGAGTTCTGCCACCGCAGCACTAGAGGCTGAAAGGTTTAAACGTTGTGAACTTGTCTGTAGATCAGCCTTGGAATTAAGAAAAGAAGCAGAACACATTGTTCAGTGAAAGGATGGCTCTTGCCTATTGAAAGAAATGGTGTTTCAAAAGCGCCTCATACATTTTTTACAAATCTTATGGTCCTAAAATATTTTCAACCCACCCTTTATCCATGGATCCTAAGGCAGGAGGCATTCAATAACAAGGGTTTGACATAATAACTATAAAAATCAGTCAAAATTCACTGTGAGTTCAACATAGGTAGGTTATAACCCAAACTACTGTCAATTAGACCCACATATAAAGTTTAAGGTAGTTTTCATTTTCCCAATTCCAGAAACCAGACTCAGAATGTAGTAAATGCAACAGGCATATCCAAAACAAATGCCAGTTGCAAGCACCACTATAAAATCGAGGCTGTGAACTTACATTATTTATTAATATGGTTCTTTTCCAATTTTATGTATCATTTTTCCTAATGTATCCATTAAAAACTTGGGCACAATCCACCAAGATGACTTGCTGAAACATTTTATTCCCTTGTACCCTAGAACTTCCCAATAGATTATGCTTTTAGAAGACAAAAGAAGTGCAAATCAAAGCTGCTTTCAGTTTTGCCTTAAATGTGTTGATCAGACAGATGAAGTATGCTTAGTTGTTTACATTTAAATCTGCATTGGATATGGCTAGATGGAAACTATGACAATTAATCTTTAAATGCATTTTGAACTACTGTATGAATTCAAACATACCTTTACCAAAATGTCTTTGACCACTTGGTGACTGTCATTATGTACACTAATGTAGCTGGAAAACGTCTCTCCTAAAAATATATTTCTGTTCAGTGGGTTGGGAAAGAGAGAAAGAATATTATTAAAATTACAGGATTTAGTAGTGAATATATTTCTGAAATCTGTAATGGTCCACTTTAAAGAGCTGCAAACATTTCTGCCATGCTGAAATATGCCTATTATTTATGTATGTATTTCATTTAACCTATAACCTGGGTTGCAAGAGATGTTGTAGCTCAGCAACAGTCACAGCAGGCAGGGGCTGGTGATTTAGAGTCCGATGGGATTGTGGGCTTTCCTGGAATTTATTCAGACACAAGCCAGGAAAGTGAACCTGTTCCAGATAAAGATGGAGGCCCAGATGCAGAGCCTGAGAATCCAATTGTCTCTGAATCTCAAGGCTAGTTAGAATAATCCTCCCTAGATAAAGACTCCAGCAGAGACAAATTAATGAGGGTCCTTAATGGGAAAGCACCTGGTTGTTCTGCCTTAAGCAAGGAAGCATGCTTGCACATTAGAGCAAATAATCAGCTTCATAGAGCATTGTGAGAAGCAGAAATTCCAGGGCAGACAGAATGCTTTCATGTCTGTGTATTAGGAGCTAAGGTTCCCCTCTGACTCCAGTTCAGGCAATGTGGTGTTTAAGTTAACAGCTAGGCCTGACTCTCTCACTTCAAGTCTTGGTTTTGGATCCAAGTATTTCATATTCTTGTTTTGTATTCCTGCTCATGCTTTTGGATCTAAGTATTTTATGTTCTTGCCTTGTATTGTTGCTCAAGTTTTGCTTATGGACTTAAGCTGTGTTGGTGTTCTGGGCCCATCTTTGGACTATTTTACCCTTGGATTTACAAGGTATCATTTATTGTCAATTATTGGACATAGGTGGAATCTGGTCTGGGGTGCGACAAGGGAGTTTTGAATATTAAACACATTTGTTAGTTTCCTGAAATAAATGATATCATAGCAGTTCCTTGGTAGTGTTTGAAAACTGAAGCTGAGAATTGACTTATTGTCTCAGCAATCAACACAGCTTCTGGCCAAAGCAGAGGGCTGAACAAAGATACACCAAAATATAACAGATTACTGAATTAACAAAACTAGGGGTGCTCATATGATGATATTGTGTGTGTTTTTATTATAGGAATTAATCAAATGACTAGAAGATGAGGCCCACAATGACTATAATGATGACCTACACATTTAGAGTTGAGGTGTCTCTGACCTCCAGCTGCAAGGGGGAAAGCAGTACAAGAATACTATCACTCTCATTTCCTGATTGTGACTTTCTAGAGACACCTGACTGTCACTATGGAAAACAGGATGATGATGATTTACTTTATTTATACCTTTGTTAGCGAGGACAGCTAACAAAGGATGATGGAACAGATAAGCTTTTGTATGAATTAGCAGAAATATTCATGTTTAGTTCAGCTACCCAAATCCATTCCAAGACTCAGTGCAGTCCCTGGAAGTTAGTGTTATAGTTCTGATAATTTATTTATTTTTCCCATCAATTCTAACTGACAAAGGATTTGGTGGCTTTTCAGTCTATGCCCATTGCTATTTAATCGAAAAGTAGAAACCTTGATGTATAACTTCTAATCCCAATTTGACAAGTGCAGTATAGCATATATCTTTGTGTGTGTGTGTGTGTTGTGCCTTCAAATCATCTGCTGACTTATGGCAACCTTGTGAACTTCTTAAAGTTTTCTTAGGCAAAAGATTGCGGTAGTTTTGTCTGTTCCTCCCATTCAAATGTAAACTACAACACTTGTCATTCATAGCAGTCTCTCAGTCAAGTACTAACCAGAGCCACCCCTGTTTACTTTCCAAGACAAAATAGGATTTGATGCTTTTGGGGTATCAAGAGTCCCTTAGAATTTATTATTATCAGTTATTAGGAACTACAAAGAAAATTCAAGGCAAGCCAAAGCAAACCAAACCAAACCCGTATATATAAGGGTATGCTATGTACACTTACTGGAATTAAGTCCCACTGAAATAATTTGGGATATTGAAAACTAGGACTGTGCTGCAAAGGATTAAAGACCATGAAAACATTTCCTTTACAGATGTAAACATCTGCATGAAATTCTTACCCAAAATTCTGAGGCAAAGTCAACATTTCTCCAAGCATTAAAGTTTCTGCTCCTTGTACTGTGGAAGGATCATCTTTCATTAGCTGGTTAAATAGATCTCCTGCAGAAATAGAAAATGTTGTCTCAAGCCATTTATGGTTCATTTGATCAACTGAGTAAAGATTTTAAAGTACAGAAATTAGGCATCAGACAGATTAAGTACCTAACAAATCTTTACGTTCTAACAATATTTGCATGTGCATTTGGTCTTATCATAGTAAAAATTGTTCTTCTAAAAGTTAGAAATGAAATGTATCCTAATTAAGTTGGAAAAATTGGTATTCTAAATTCTCTATGAAAACCAGATTTGTTAGTTTCCTGAAATAAATGATATTATAGCAGTGACTTGGTAGTATTTGAAAACTGGAACTGAGAATTAACTTAATAATAAAGATTTAACATTGCATCTAACAGTTGTTCTCAACCTGTGGGTCCCCAGATGTTTCAACTCCCAGAAATCCTAACAGCTGATAAATTGGCTGAGATTTCTGGGAGTTGTAGGCCAAAACACCTGGGGATTCACAGGTTGAGAACCACTGTCTTAGATGCAATGTTAAATCTTTATTATTAACAAGTAAACCATTGATCTAAGATATCATAGCCATTAAGCTGTGAACTGTCAATCTTTCTACACAATCATTAGTGAACACAGACCATCTGGTTTACTGCTGCTTTTACAAACTAGGTGGGACGTTTTCTCTCCATCAAAGAGGTCATTAGAACTAATTGCCCTAAAGAGAAAATCAGCAGGACTATAAACTCTGGATGATGATAGTTGTTTAATCTGCACTTCACCAACAGTGACAAGAGTGAGGCAGTAGTTCATGACAACAAGAACCCACTTCTAAAGACCAGCAACCTCAGCCTGCCTTTTAGTGGGGACTGAGTCAACAGACTACTTTTTGGAGGCCTTGAAAACACAGCATCTATTCTCTATCAATGCTTGTCACTATCAGAACAAGATAATAATACTAGTACGAATACTAAAACGACTACTACTCATTTATTATCCGCCTCTCCTTGTGGCAGGTTACAATATGATAGAAAACATTCATTTTCACACTGACCTGTTTTTTAAAAGTGACATGTCTCTAAAATGCAAATAGACCACAAGTTTAAATATTAACATCAAAAGATAATTTACCTGGCAAATCTCTTTCTTCACAGGTCACAGGAATATTGGTGAATAATGTAGGCTTGGTCAACCTCATTACTGTGAATTTAGAAAGCAAATTCAGGATTATCGTCAGAGGATCATTAATTCAACACTTCAACACTCGTAAATCACAAACACTGCTTTGCCTCCGGAATTTTACTCATGACAAAATAAGGAAGACATCTGACATACAGACTCTTTTCTATTCTTGTTACAGAGGAGAGAAGCTAACAATGCAGGATCTTGTGTTTCCCTGAATTAAGGTTCTCTATCAGACTGCACGCTTACCCCCCCCCCCCCCCCCCCCCCCCCCGAGCTTGAAAAAATCATTTGTACAACTTAATGGATTCCTCAACACACAAGCAGAATTGCTGGCTGAGGAATTCTGGAAAATATACTCCAAAAAGTAACTATTTCATCTATGGTTCCTACTATATCATCTATATCTATATCAGCTAGGAGCCCCCGGTGGCATAATGGGTTAAACCCGTGTGGCAGCAGGACTGCTGACCAAAAGATCAGCTATTCGACTCCGGGGAGCGGGATCAGCTCCTGTCTGTCAGCTCCAGTTTCTCATGCAGGGACACAAGAGAAGCCTTCCACAGGATTGTAAAATATCTGGACATTCCCTGGGTAATGTCCTTGCACTCAGCCAATTCTCTCACACCAAAGCGACTTGCAATTTCTCAAGTTGCTCCTGACATTAAAAACATTCTATGAAATTAGAAAGGATTACAAACAAGACAAGATTAAATGAGAGATTCAAGGAAAATATACTTCTATACCTCGAGTTAAGAGTTTGAGGCATTTCGTGGTCAAGCTCTTAACTCAAATTGCTCTTATATCAAAGCAAATTCCCACTGAAGTACTAGTAATTTGTTCTGGCCCCCAGAACACCCCCCCCCCATTTTTGTTACATGTTTTTAAATAACAAAATGTCCTTTTAAATAAAAAGCAATGTATAAATGCACATTCACATGGAACAATAAAAAAGAAAGATCAACTTTAAAAGGCAGAAGCATTCTTTTCTTCATTCTATACTAATTCCAGCCTCCCTCCCTCTCTTGCTCTCTCTCCTTCTCTCTCTTCATGAAGCCAAACAAACCAGGAATAAAACTCACACAAAATCAACTAACCCAAAGTTTCTCAAAGCAGACAGGAGCCAAGGGGACAGGTATCTTCCAAAGCAGACAAGAGCATGAGCATAGAAGTTGCTCACTTGAAGCCCTGTACTCTGGTGTTAGTATTCCCTCTGGTGCTAGCACTCAGCACTTAACTCAAAACACTGCCCTTATGTCAAAGGCCGAGTGATGATTCTTAACTCAAAATGTTTGTAAATTGGGATGATCTTAAGTCAAGGTTCCACTGTACATGAATCAGCAGACTTGCAAAATATTTATGCCTGTCATCTCCTCTATTCTAAGCATATTTTAAAGATTTTGTCCCTTTAAAAAGCATTATGAACCTGGAAATAGAGTTGTCCTCCTCAGTATCTAAAGTATTCATTCTCCAAAAAGAGTACCAACACAAGGAAGATTCTACAACACAAATATTTGCCTTACCTAGTTGTCAGTCACCTAATTGAAAGCCACATAGAATGTTTTCTAATAAACCCGTTCCATTATAGATAAATCACCACAGAACCAGGCAGGCTTTGCTTACTGTGATTCTGTGTGTGTGTGTGTGTGTGTGTGTATAATCATCAGTGTTTCTTTACTCTCAAATAATGGTTATGTCGGTGGTGAATTAGAGACATGCATGCAGTATGGAGAAATTGTGACATTCCCCTGCTGAACTATGTTATGGGAGAGATAAGGTATAATGGTCTTGTTTTGAATGATTGTAACAGGGAAGTCCTATTGATATTGTCATTTCTGCAATTGTCTTGAACGCCTGACAAAAGAATTTTTTAAAAAAGTTCTCATTCAGAATACATTTCAGCATTTCTTTTAATGGTGATTATTTTAAAACTTAAACTGGAAATATAACAACCAACTACCAGATCAAAATATACAAAACATAGCCATTTAATTAGCTTCTCCTAACACTGGAGTGTTGTACTTGGACAGAAGATAACAAAACAGAAAACAAATTGTGATGAATATTTAAACAATATGGTATGCAGCAGGTCTCTATTCATTCAGGTCAGACTAAATATGTATATCCCAAAACAAACACCATAGTTTTGACAATGAAGCTGAGGGAAATTGGATGAAAATTATTTTTAAATCCCTTTTAAAGTTTGACTACATTAGATCCAACAGTACAGGTGGACTTTGATGAGATGGTTCAAAACCTGTTTTTATTAACATCTTTTAAAAGTTATTTAATTCCACTGGAGGGAACTGATCCACTTGATTATAGTATTCAGGCTTGTGTATGAAAAACAGACCTTAGCATATATGATTCTATTTATTTTTCTGTCAGAAGGCCTTCTGATATTTCTCTTTTAGACCTTTCTAAATCTGAAATTTCACAGAAGTAATTTTTGTATGGCTCTCTAGATATTGTTAGATTAAAATTCCCAGAGTTCCTCTCAATTGACTGTTTCTGTTAAAACCGGAAGGAGTTCTGTTTGTGAACATAATAGTTGGTGTGTTGATGAAACATGATCATCCTATTCTGCCCACACTAACTCAAGTTAAAAAGTATAGCAAAGATCAAATGACCACAATCAACCAAATGGGGAATGGACAGACCTCAGAATGATAAACCTAATGTTACCAAAATTGAGAAACTATTTTCGAGTGCAATCAGTCTCTAAGAAACATTATTTAGTTATGCTAGACTATTAATTGCAACCATAAACAAGACAATGCCTGAAAATTAAAACATTGTTTTAAAATATGCAATTCTTATAAAAGACATATCACCTTAAGAAAGCAAAAAAGCACAACTCAGTCTTGTAGAGATCAATTTATTTGAGAAAATGTCTCCAATTTTCATGAAATTCATACATTAAAAAAATCTTCTGAACAGGTTATACAGCTTAGTTCATAGGCACAGCTAAATAACAGACATCTCTCCATGTGAGCAAAAATGCTCTAAGGGACCTTCCTAATAGTCAATAACATAAAATTTTGATGTTTTTGGTGATACAGAATGATAGATGCTTACAGTAAGCTATTTCTTCACATTTGTGGGATAAACATTCATGGATTTGTTTATTAGTGTATTACTATATACATAAATAAAAATCACAAATGCCATTTCTTTTTACCTGACAGAACACTTCTCTCGGGATATCTAGGATCTCAGCATTTTTCTATGTTTCACTTCCATTGGAAATGCCTAGAGAAGTGTTCTCTCAGGTTTTTTTTTTAAAAAATAGCATGCACAATTTTATCTGTATCTGCAGTCAATTTCTGCTGGGAACTGGTGCTCTCAACCCCCATGAAAGATGAAGGTCAACTGCAATTAGGTGGTTTTAAGACCTTGCACAGAAAACATACTGTTGTCTATAATTCCAAACTATGTATTATTCCATATTTGTGAACAAACAAATTCATTTTTCCTTCAAGATTTAGTTTTTCTCTAAGGTTACTGGCAATGTATTCACAGTAGAGTATGTCACAGAAAATCAAAATCTGGCTCTTAGATCTCTGTACTGTAGCATTGCAAGATGGCAGTTCATTGTGTCTGATCATCCTGATAAGCTTTGTCCAAACATCTTCAAGTGTCTGATTGTTTAAAGTGGAGGGTTCAATTATCCACTGTGCTCGATAGAATACATGCAGCTTTAGTTTTTGTAAAGTTTTCTGCAGCTCTCTGGATAAAGGAAAAATCTTATCTTTATGCTCAGAGTTTGCAGCAGACACACTCCAAGATCTCCTGAAGGTCTGTTTGCCACTTGTCGATTGCTTTCCCAAAGTGCTCGATTCATTTTTTCCTTGTTCAGTTTGTAAACACTGTACAGCTTTCGTATCAGGATGAAATTCCTTAAGCCCTTCTGTACAGTCATAATATGGGGAGCCACAAACAGTTCCTAGTGATGCGTGATGCTGTTTCAGTTGTTCTGCTTCTTCAACCGAGATAACTGGAGCTTTTGTCTTAGGCTTGAGGGGGAGGTTGCACCGGTCATTTGGAAACCAGGGTATGAAGCTTGGCAGCTGCCGGATGGGAAATTCTTTCAGTGCCTCTTCTGCAATTTTTTGCAATAGTGCTGGGTCCCTTTGCCATGGTCGATAGTGTAGAACCACATCCATGCTTGTACATATTCGAATCATGAACGTTTCAGGGAGTTTTGCCAGCGACACGACGTTATCACTTAAAATGATAACAGAAGAATACAGGACCTAGAGCAGAAGTATTGCAAGTAATAAGAAACACTAGCAACATTACCATCAAATGACAAAGACTCAGTTTTTCCTAAACAAGGACAAATTGAAAAACTTGCTTGTGGCCCCAGGCTCCCTGGGGTAAGACCAATGAAATAACTGGGATTTCAGCTTTGACAAATGCCATTCATGTAATGTAAAAACTAACTGTAGTTTTGACATGACATGTATAATTGGGAAATGAAGTTTGGGATACTGGGAAATGAAGTTTGCATTCACTGAGAAGGATCTAGCTTGCATCCCCAGCAGTAGCCCTTGAGGCTGGTGGAACAAAGAAAATTTTCTATTGGAATCTCAGAAGATAAATGAGATTGGCCTAACACACACAACTTTTTTATGAGTTATAATCAGCACATTGAATTGTGCCCAGAACAGGCTGACATATTATACCTGCAAACAAACTGAGGATGGAGGTGAAGAACCTAGACGGATTAAAAATAGGATTTATACTTAAATTTGATTACTGATGTCCATGAAAGTTTCTACCATAATAATTCTATCAGTGTTTCAGAGTTGTTGCTTTCCTATAGGAACCTAGTACAACCGCTCTGAATTTTAAAGCCAGACTATATATATATATTTTAAAAAATCAATTCTTCTATTACAGTTTTTAAAAAGCTTAATAATTCAACACTGAACAAAATAACAACTCATCGAGCAACCACTCATTCCGATCACATGTATGATTTCTCAACATGGTTTATTTTCAAGTTAGTAAATGGTACAGAACTTCTTTCTTTAAATCCTCCAGAGTTAATTACCTAACCAAATGCTTTGTTTATAGACTAGAGAGAAATTTTCCTCTACTACAGACACAAAAATGTGCATTGTTATGAAATTACTTAAAATCATTTTGCCTGGAGAAATTTGTAATAATTGGACCGATTCCACTAGGTTTGCTTGCTCTTTTTAACACTCAGACAAAACCCTTCAAATGTTTTTTTAACCACTTTACTGATTATAAGAAATTGGAGAAAAATATTCCATTCATGGCTTCTTTGCCTAACAACTCCACCACTGAACCTTCTCAAATTGCTCACTGTACTCATTTTTTACAACCCAGTTGTTTTCAATGAAGTTCAGCTTCTATCTGAAAACAGTTGGCACCAAACATAAAGAACTGTGTTCATGACAGAGGAAGATACCTAATAGACCCTGTGGGAAAGGTGTGTGTAATTACATTTGTAGAGAGGAGCTATTCTTGCAGGAGCAGCTGGTTGTGGAGTTATTAAGAAGGGCTACAGATTGCATTGTACAGATTAAGGGAATCCCTGTTTAGGAGGCAATGACATCCAAGTCTCAAGAGGAGTTTGGCCTTTTTTTCAAGGCATCACAGTGGAAATAAAAATAAGGATTACTCATTTCAATTTTTTCCTTTTAGTTATTTCCAACATGGTAACCCTAAGGCACAGGTTTGCAGCTTGGGAGTTCTCCTGGACTCATAGCTGAGTTTGGATCCCCAGGTTTTGGGGGTAGCGAGGGGAGCATTTGCATAATTAAAACTTGTGTGCCATTTGCCCCCATACCTTGGGAAGTCAGTCTTGGACACGGTAGTCCACACTCTGGTTACATCCCGTATAGACTACTGCAATGCACTCTACTTGGGGTTGCCTTTGAAGACTGTTCAAAAGCTTCAAATGGTCCAACGGGTGGGAGCCAGATTGCTCACTGGAGCAGCGTACAGGGAGTATACAGCCCCTCTGTTATGTCAGCTCCACTGGCTGCCAGTCTGCTACTGAGCACAATTCAAAGTGCTGGCTTTAGCCTATAAAGCTTGAAATGGTTCCGGCCCAGCTTACCTGTTCGAACGTATCTTCCCCTATAAACCACCTCAGAGATTAAGATTGTCTGGGGAGGCCCTGCTCTCGGTTCCAACCCCTTTGCAGGTGTGACTGCTGGGGATGAGAGACAGGGCCTTCTCAGTGGTGGCCCCTTTGGTGTGGAATTCCCTCACCAGGGATATTAGATCAGCCCCCTCCCTCCGTAAGACCTTCCGTAAGAGAGTGCAAACATGGCTCTGTGACCAAACCTTTGGAGAACTTGTGCAATAGAGAGATATGGAATGTTGTGCAATGAGTATTGGAACAGCCCAGATTACGCTTGAGGATTACGTTATTGTGAAGGTATTTCCATAAATGCAGGGTAGAAATGTCACAAATAAGCAAATAAATAAGGCAGTGGTTCTCAGCCTGTGGATCCCGAGGTGTTTTGGCCTACAATTCCCAGAAATTCCAGCCAGTTTACCAGCTGATTTCCGGGACCCACAGGTTGAGGGTCTCTGCCCTATGGTGACCCAGGGCCCTTCCACACAGCCATATACATTATAATTTCCTCCTACGAACCTGTGCGATCTCTCCGATCTTGGGGGAGGCCCTCCTCTCTCTCCTGCCTCCATCACAGGCACGGCTTGTGGGGATGAGGGAGAAGGCCTTCTCTGTGGTTGCCCCCCAGCTCTAGAACTTGCTCCCCAAGGAGATTAGACAGGCACCCACCCTGACAGTCTTTAGAAAAAGTTTAAAAACCTGGCTTTTCCTGTGTGCTTTTGGGGACTGAACTATCAATTTCCATGCCATGTCCTGTCCCAAGTCCAACTTGTCTTTCTGATGCTCTTCATCTTATCTCTCAGTTGAAGATTAATTCTACTGTTATCCTGTTTGAGCCCCCTCACAAATTATAGCACTTTCTACCTACCCCACCTTATCAATTTCTATCCACTTTTAGTCATGAGCCTCACTCTCTTTTTCTAATTCTATTACCATTTTATCGTGTGTTTTTATTATGATTTTGTTATTTTCATTTTATTATGTTATTATTAAGTATTTTATTTGATGTTATTGTTTTGTTTATATGCATTTTGCTCTATTGTAATTTCATTTGGGCTTGGCCTCATGTTAGCTGCCTCGAGATGGTGGAGGGGTATAAATAAAGTTGATTATTATTATTATTATTATTATTATTATTATTAGTAGTAGTATTAGTATTATTATTAGAAACACAACAAGATGAGTCCACAGCAGACAAGATCTCTCTGCTGGCTGTTGTATTAGATCACATGTCAGACACTTCTAAATGGTGTATTTTAATATTTGATAAATGTTTTTTAATGTTTATGTATTGTATGTGAATTTGTGTCTCGGCATTGAATGTTTTCTGTGTATATGCTGTGCTTCGCCCTGAGTTCCCTTCGGGGTGAGGGCGGAATATAAATGTTTTAAATAAATTGTTGAAGGCCTTCATGGCCGGAATCACTGGGTTGTTTTAGGTTTTTTCGTGCTATATGGTCATATTCTAGAGGTATTCTCTCCTGACGTTTCACCTGCATCTATATATATTATGGAGCCCCCGGTGGCGCAGTGGGTTAAAGCACTGTGCCGGCAGGACTGAAGACCGACAGGTCGCAGGTTCGAATCCGGGGAGAGGCAGATGAGCTCCCTCTATTAGCTCCAGCTCCTCATGCGGGGACATGAGAGAAGCCTCCCACAAGGATGATAAAAACATCAAATCATCCAGGTGTCCCCTGGGCAACGTCCTTGCAGACGGCCAATTCTCTCACACCAGAAGCGACTTGCTCCTGACACGACAAAAAACAACAACAAAAACCTGCATCTATGGCAAGCATCCTCAGAGGTAGTGAGGTCTGTTGGAAGTAGGAAAATGGGTTTATATATCTGTGGAATATATTTGTTTTATATGTGTGTGTGTGTACTTCTATATATATATATATATATATATATATTTGTCCCACCCTGGTCTTTCCACAGATATATAAACCCGTCTAGAACAGGGATCCACAAACTTTTTAAACAGAGTGCCAGGCCACAGTCCCTCAAACAGTTGGAGGGCCGGATTATAATTTGAAAAAAGCATGAATGAAAATCCAACAAATGCTACGTTCAGCAAAGGACAAGAGGGATCCTCTCACCTCTGCAGGAGTCTACCGTATACCATGCAGCTGTGGACAAGTCTACATAGGGACCACCAAACGCAGCGCCCAAACACGAATCAAGGAACATGAAAGGCACTGCAGACTACTTCAACCAGAGAAGTCAGCCATAGCAGAGCACCTGATGAACCAGCCTGGACACAGCATATTATTTGAGAACACAGAAGTTCTGGACCACACCAACAATCACCATGTCAGACTACACAGAGAAGCCATTGAAATCCACAAGCATGTGGACAATTTCAACAGAAAGGAAGAAACCATGAAAATGAACAAAATCTGGCTACCAGTATTAAAAAACTCTAAAATTAACAGCAAAACAGCAGAGAGGAAACAACCAGGCACATCTTAACACCTCTCAACAGAACATTTTCCCAGGCTCAGCCAGGCCTTCAAATGCTAATGAAGGTGGTCGGCTGAAACATTCACCTAGCTTCAGCAGAGAGCTCTTTGCCCCACCCCAGTCATTCCACAGATATATAAACCCATTGTCCTAATTCCAACAGACCTCACTACCTCTGAGGATGCTTGCCATAGATGCAGGCGAAACGTCAGGAGAGAATGCCTCTAGAACATGGCCCTATAGCCCGAAAAAACCTACAAGAACCTCATGAATGAATTCCTATGAACACTGCACATATCTTATTTGTAGTGCAAAAACACTTTAAAACAATACAATAATTAAAATCAAGAACAATTATAATAAACATAAGCTTATTAGTATTTCAATGGGAAGTGTGGGCTTGCTTTTGGCTGATGAGATAGGATTGAAGGCCTCGGGCCTTCACTTCAGAGCCTCCATGAAGTGAAGGGAAGGCGAGCCAGGCTGGACATACCTTTCAAGGCCAGGAGATGCTCCTGCTTGGGCTGGGTGACATCCATGGCCTCAGCCTCGCCACTTCGGGGCCTCCTCCTTTAGACGCACAGAATCCTTCCAGCTTCTGCCGGAAGCACTTCCCCCTCCCGCCTCCACCACACAACGAAATGAACCCTCTCTGAATTTGGCCCACTCTTGGTTCTCCCTGGCGTTGGGAACTACATCCCCCAGAATGCCCTTCGGGTAGGCGTGCTGAGCTTCCTCCAAGCTGTCAAGGCAAAGCATGATGGTAGCTGTAGTCTTTCGCGACTGGGAAGGAGACTGAAGCGTGACGTCGAAGCAGACATGCGCAGTGCAATAGGAAACCAAATCTTCGGCGGTTCTCATTGGTGTGACGTCAGCGCGCAGACCCGCCTCCCTGTTTCCAGGGAAACTACGCTGTGGGCGGAGAAAGAGCGGGGAGCGAGCGGAGTGGGCGGATGCTGCTGCTGGGGCTTTCTCCTTCCCTTTCCAAGATGGCGGCGCTGAGTGTAAACAAGGTCGGGCCTGGCGCAGGGATAGATGCCGGGAGCAGGCCGGGACGGAGTCCGGGAGGCCCGGTAGTGAAGGTGAGGAGAGCGGGAGAGGCCCGGGAGGCTTTCCTTCGAGGCTCGCCGCCTTTGGGGGTGGGAAAGGCCATGAAACCCTTCGGCTGTAGAGAAGGCCGCAAATATTTCTGCAGTAGGATGTGATCCTTCTGTGGATCGATTATCTGGTCGACTGTGGGTGCATTTACACTTTCATATTAATGCAGTTTTGACACCACTTTAACTGCCATTGCTCAATGCTGTGGGATCCTGGGTGTTGTAGTTTTGCAAGGCCTTGTCTGCCAAAGAGAGTAGGTGCCTCAACAAACTACAAAGCCCACTGTATTGTCGAAGGCTTTCATGGCTGCAATCACTAGGTTCTTGTGGGTTTTTTCGGGCTATAGGGCCATGTTCTAGAGGCATTTCTCCTGACGTTTCGCCTGCATCTATGGCAAGCATCCTCAGAGGTAGTGAGGTCTGTTGGAAATAGGAAAATGGGTTTATATATCTGTGGAATGCTGGGGTGGGGCAAAGAGCTCTCTGCTGAAGCTAGGTGTGAATGTTTCAGCTGACCACCTTCATTAGCATTTGAAGGCCTGGCTGAGCCTGGGAAAATGTTCTGTTGAGAGGTGTTAAGATGTGCCTGGTTGTTTCCTCTCTGCTGTTTTGCTGTTGTAATTTTAGAGTTTTTTAAATACTGGTAGCCAGATTTTGTTCATTTTCATGGTTTCCTCCTTTCTGTTGAAATTGTCCACATGCTTGTGGATTTCATGGCTTCTCTGTGTAGTCTGACATGGTGGTTGTTGGTGTGGTCCAGCATTTCTGTGTTCTCAAATAATATGCTGTGTCCAGGCTGTTTCATCAGGTGCTCTGCTATGGCTGACTTCTCTGGTTGAAGTAGTCTGCAGTGCCTTTCATGTTCCTAATTCCAACAGACCTCACTACCTCTGAGGATGCTTGCCATAGATGCAGGCGAAATGTCAGGAGAAAAGCCTCTAGAACATGGCCCTATAGCCCGAAAAAACCTACAAGAACCTACAAAGCCCAGGATTGCTATAGCATCTTTGAGCCCTTCCAGACAGCCATATAACCCAGAATATCAAGGCAGATAATCCCGCAATATCTGCTTTGAACTGGGCTGTCAGAGTCCAGACTGCCATATAACCCAGTTCAAAGCAGATAATGTGGGGTTTTATAAAGCTGTGTGGAAGGGGACTGAGTCAGCAGCTAAAATGCGGTCAAACTGCATTAATTCTGCAGTGTAATCTATATAAATAAAAATGTAATGTTCGGGTTGTTGTAGGTTTTTTCAGGCTATATGGCCATAGTCTAGAGGCATTCTCTCCTGACGTTTTGCCTGCATCTATGGCAAGCATCCTCAGAAGTAGTGAGGTCTGTTGGAACTAGGAAAAAAACAGACCTCACTACCTCTGAGGATGCTTGCCATAGATGCAGGCGAAACGTCAGGAGAGAATGCCTCTAGACCATAGCCATATAGCCTGAAAAAACCTACAACAACAGTGATTCTGGCCATGAAAGCCTTCGACAATACAATGTAATGTTTGTTTGTGGGATTAACATAACTCAAAAACCACTGGATGAATTGACACCAAATTTAGACACAAGACACCTCTCAGGCCAACAAGTGACCATCACTCAGAAAAACACTGGAAAACACAGCAAAAGGGTCTTAAAAAGCCACAAACAAAAAATACATTACAACACATGTGCAAAACCACATATATACCGCAAACACATGTATATACACATATACAAATAGATATACACACATATGCACATATATACACACACAAAACACATATACACAGACTGGGCCACAGCAACACATGGCAGGGGACGGCTAGTAATAATAATAAACTTTATTTATACCCCGCCACATTATGTTGACTTTTGTATTGGTTGAAATTGAACATACAGGCATAGTCAGTTAATGAAACCTCTGAGAGTGAGGCTCCTGTATAGAAATTATTTTTATTCTGCCTTGAATTTCATGATGGCAGAAAGGCAGAATCTAAATAAAGTAAATGTCCACCCAGGCCCTCTTTTCCTCCATGAATCTGGCATATTTGCAGCAGCACTAGAGGATGGCTGAGGAAACACACTTTAGATACTACGTTACAGCAGTTGATCTGCAGTAAAAAATAAAATCTGTAATAAAACCTGAGCTGAGAAAGAATGGGATTCTGCTTTAGGATATTCTTTCTCTATTATTTCTACCTCTGGTATCAAACTTTCTGTTAAAGAGGAAATGCCTAGTAACACACCTACTTTGTGAACTGAGGTATGTCTGTACTCCTTTGTAACTTTTAGGTTCTGGAATGTGGAGTCTGTGAAGACGTATTCTCATTACAAGGAGACAAAGTTCCTAGACTGCTTCTGTGTGGCCATACTGTTTGTCATGACTGCCTCACTCGACTTCCTCTCCATGGCAGAGCAGTTCGATGTCCTTTTGATCGGCAGGTTACTGAGCTAGGTAAGATACAGAAATAGTAATAACATTAACATTGAAATAATCATATTTTGGCACTAAAATTCTGAAATTTAGTCGATCCAGGCATAATTATATTTAAGCTTTATTCATATAGCTTTTGTGTGTTGTATTGTTCTAGAAAAAAACATATGTAAATTATATTAAAACATTGTAATTATAAGTAAGTTTTTATTTTAGTAGTCCAAACGTAGCTTTAGAAACAAACCCATATTGCTTGGAAGGTAACTCAAACATTTTGACTGTGCCATTCAAAAATAGTAGCCCTTCTGTGTGCTACAAAGGTTGTGGAAAATTTTACAGATTAGTGAAGTGTAACCTCGGAGATTGTCAGAGTTCTGCGGCATTGAATTAATTGGCAAATATTCTCAGATCTGGGCTATTTATTTATCGTGTCAGGAGTGAACCAAACAGTTGCGTTATATTTAAAAAACACACAGAGAGAATTTGCAAACTCTGTTAAATGTCCTTTGACCAGGTACCTGGTCACCTGGAGTGCCTCCGGCTCTGCCACAAGAAGGTCCTCCATTGTGCATGCAACAGGGCTCAGATCACACTGTAGTAGGTGGTCAGTGGTTTGCTCCTCTCCACACTCGCATGTTGTGGATTCCACTTTGAAGCCCCATTTCTTAAGGTTGGCTCTGCATCTCATGGTGCCGGAGCGCAGTGTTCAGCGCCTTCCAAATCGCCCAGTTTTCTGTGTGGCCAGGGGGGAGTCTCACATTTGATATCAGCCACTGATTGAGGTTATGGGTTTGGGCTGACCTTTGGTAAATGTGGTTGGATAAGCTTTAAAATTAAACCCAGGATGTAAAAGTCACTGAGTCCAGTAAGGGATTTTTCTCCGTGGTCAGCTTAACTAGACACGAAAGGTTTGTTTCTTTGAGCGTGTTCCATAGCTCACTAAGCTATTTCAACTGCATATTTCCTAAATACGTTTCTGGCTTTCTTTGTAAAGAAAGCATCTATGGTCAAAACATAGCCTGCTGCTCATGGTAATGCAATATCACTGGTGACAGAATTAGATTAGGAGAAAGATGATATAAATGAGGTTGTCTTTCTTATGGAAGGGGAGCTTAATCATATTTTCTGTAATGCAGTCCGTGCATTTGGAAGTATAGAGAGTAACAAAAGAGAAAATGACATGTCCCTACTGTGATTAATTCACAATTTTAATTAAAGCAAATTTCTGGCAATAATACAATTGCTTTGGTTTAAGTGAAAATCTAATGGATAAGATTGGTGAAGGATTTGTTGCGAGTCCACTCTATGCTTTCTCAGTGGTATTTTAAGTTATCGTCCTCACAATTGTGTGGTTTTGAGCCATGGTTTGGTTGCTTCTCATTATAGTTATCTATATTTCTGTCAACATTTCTAAGAATGCACTAGATATTTTTTGTATTGTATCCTTAGTTGTTCAATACTCAGGTTCCAACAGTCATATCATAGCTACAAAATGTGTGTGTGTCTTTTGATTTCAGACGCAACCACATCTCTCCTGCCTTCATGGAATGCAAGGTTCCTCATTCAGATAAAACAGGAAATAATGCTTAATTAGACACTTCCTAGTTTGATGCTGGGTGTGGCAGGAAGGTGTGGATTTTCCTAGATAATATTTTAACTGGAAAATTTTCTTGAGCCCTAAATAAGACCTTAATCTCATAATGCTTTCATAATATATAGTAAATTGCATTATTTATTTATTATTTTATTTATTTAGGGCATTTATATCGCATGCAATCTCACCTCCGCTGAGAGACTCAGGGCAGGTAACACTCGGCCCCACACAGTGCCCACAATAAGAAAAGCATACATATACATAATATAATAAGAACAGTATAAAAACAATATAAAACATTAAAGCACATCACCAAATTCAGTCGTCTTCCTAAAAGCAGTATTGTTGCAACAGCCCATAAATATTTTCATTTAAATATTTGATAAAGAAAAAGATGACAGCATATAATTTGGTTTATATATTATGTTAAAAATAATTCCAATCTTTATATGGAAATTATTTATATTTGTTTATTTCTCTTTTAATGTTTACAATATGTAACTTTTCTTTTATAGGTTGTTTAAATGTAAAGAGGAGAGTTACTGAGAAAGTTACTGATGTGTATGAGGACTACTACTATGAGAGGCTTATTCTCTTCTATTGAAGATGTTGATGCAAACCCATTTTCACTGTCACTATTTTTACTGTGCCAGTGCAAAATGCAATAAGAACCTTTTAAATAGGTTGTGGAGCCCTCTGTAACAAAAATACGCTCCTTCAAAACTAGGACTCAGTCTCTTGGCAGTTTCTGTTTTATTTTTGGGTTTTGGAATTTTTTCAGTTTATTTTCAGGCTGGAATAGAGTCACAAATATAAACTTCCTCCAGTAGATTAGGAAGGAATCTTTATGTATGTTAATTCCCAATCATTTGCCTTTGTCCAAAAATATGTCTACTTACGTGTGGTTTATTAATTTACCCCCAAATCTGAAATACAGTGGGTCCTTGGCATTTGGTGGAGTTTGTTCCAGGGCCCCCTGTGGACATCAAACATCGAAGATGCTCAAGTCCCATTATAAACAATAGCATAGTAAAATGGTATCCCTGACGTAAAATGGTAAAATCAAAGTTTGCTGGGGGGGTGGGGGGTGGCGGTGGAATATTTTCCAGCCTTGGATGGTGGACAAAATGGATATGGAGAGTTGATTGTACATGAATTTATGGTGATGGAGTTCAGAACATGGGACCAAAGTATGCAGTGGCAGATAGAATGGTCTGGTGGAGTATGAATAAAAATTAATACAGGATTGATGATGGAAATTATTTATTCACAGCTTTAATCTTGTGTACTATCATTCTGATATTTCCATTTGTGACAAGTGTAGCTTCCATTTTGTAGTTTGGATCCATTGTCTTCATCAGGAGCACTGTTCTTGATATCTTGTCTTGCTGAAAGTAATACATATGGCCTGGCTCTGATGTTCTTAGTAACCAAGGAATCAAAGAGGAACATTTGTTTAACCACGGACTGGTGTGCTGAAATCAATAGGCATAGTATTCAGTCTGGGATTGACTGCATAATGCCGTCTTGTTTCTGATCTGCACAGTTGCCGCTGTTAGATGCTTTTTCTGAAGAGACGCTGCCAAACTGTGTTTTGAAAATCGTTTCATTAGTTTCATGGAATAGGCATATCCGTGAAACCCTATATTCTTGCAGATGTGGCCTTCATACTAGATGTATGTATTGATGTGAGCAGCCTGATAATATTGAACAACTGCTATATTTGCTGTAATAAATTAATAGAGGCCTAATTAATATTGACATTTGTTTTGACGTAGGATACCAGAGATATATGAAAATATGGATGAATAAACTATCCATAATATATTTATTAGGCCTCTGAGATATATGCATATACTAAGCATATTGTGAACCCAAAATAACCCTTTTTGCAGTATCTATAAAGGAATGAATATTAAATAGAAGTTGTATATTTAATGGGAGGTTAAAATATATTTTGTTCAGTTGAAAAAAATAAGACCTAAATGCTCTGAACTTTGGACTGCATACAAAGGCTCAGACTTAAGAAACTATGGGCAAAAAGAGAAAATGCACTAAAATTTTGTGCAATATAAGCAAAACATAATGATGTCTCTCAGTATAATGTTTTAGCCTGTAATAATGTTTTAACATGTAATAATTGACCATGGTAGTGTTCCGGTTCACCTTGCTGGGATAAGTACTTTAAGACATTGTGGCTTCATGACTTCCTGGAGCAGCAAACCCAGAAGGTGGTGCTGGAGGCTTCCGGTTTGTCCCCTTGGCCGGTGGGATCCTTCAGGGCTCTGTCTTATCCCTTGTACTATTTAATGTATACATGAAACTGCTGGAAGAGGTCATCTGGAGTTTTGGCATGCAGTGCTATCAATATGCAGATGACACTCAACATCTGCTACTCCTTTTCACTCCAATCCAAGGAGGCTGCCATCAGTAATGCACTAGATGAGGGCAAGCTAATTGAAATTTAATCCATACAAGTTAGAGATGCTCCTTGTCAGTTGGAAGGCAGGTCAGGGAATAGGGAGCACTAAATGTCTCTCTCTCCCTCTCCCCCCCCCCCCCCCCCCCGCTTTGGAAAAAATAAGCTCATTTGAGTAGGCCAAGTGTGCTTTTGAGCATTTAAAGTTTCTGTGCCCACTGGGTCTGTTCCCTGAAATGTTAGATCTGGCTACGATGGTACATCTCTCAGTATTATCCCATTTGTAGTGCTGTAACATGCTATACTTGGGATTGCCTATACTTAGTTGAAAGATCTACAGACATACTATTGATAGTATGACTGGGCAGGTTACTGTACCATGTTGCAACAGCTCCATGGCTGCCATTTTGTTTCTGGGCACAATTGAGAGTGCTGGTTATGTCCTATAAAGTCTTACATGGGTGAGATCCTTGTCCTTTGGGTAGCAGCATAAAACATTTGTATTCACTCAGACTTTTAAAACCAAGTTTTAAATTAATAGTCTTTGGGGTGTTGTATTGTTTTAACTGAACAGTTTTAAATAGCTTTTTATATTTTTCAATAACATTTTATTTATTTCTCAGGTATGAATTGTTATAATAGTGTAAATCGTTTAATTATATTTTAACATTTACCTTTTATATGTTTTAATTGTACAGTATTGTTCTTTTAAATTATGAGCTTTTTTGAGTGACAGTTTTAGGGGAAACAGGATATAAATGAATATAATAACAGCAGCAATGATGATGAGGAGGAGGAGGAGGAAGAAAATGCCTGGGGAAGGTTTGAGGGGTTTTGTTGTTGTTTTTTCATGTCATGAGCAACTTGAGAAACAGCAAGTTGCTTCTGGTGTGAGAAAATTGGCTGCAAGAACGTTGCCCATGGGATGCCTGGATGTTTTACCATCCTGTGGGAGGTTTCTCTCATGTCCCCGCATGGGAAGCTGGAGTTGTCAGACAGGAGCTCACCCCGCTCCCCGGATTTGGACCACTGACCTTTTGGTCAGCAGTCCTGCCATCACAAGGGTTTAACCCAGTGGCTTTCAGCCTGTGGGTCCCCAGGTGTTTTGGCCTACAACTCCCAGAAATCCCAGCCAGTTTACCAGCTGTTAGGATTTCTGGGAGTTGAAGGCCAAAAACATCTGGGGACCCCAGGTTCAGAACCACTGGTTTAACCCATTGCACCACCGGGGGCTCAATTTGCACCACTGGTTTTGGGGTAAGCCAGCCAGAATTACATTTACAAAACTAAACTATTTGGGAGTCTTTTCTTAGAATGTGTGTGTGTGTCTGTGTCTGTGTGTCTGTTTATCATTTCAGGCTGAATATTTTTGAATAGCAGATTGAAATGAAGGTTAAATGTATGACAATTCACTGTGGGTAAAAATAACACTTATAATAAAAACAGTATATTTATAGTACAACAATCTTATGCATGTCTATTGGGAAGTGAATCGAATTAAATTCATTGGTACTTACTCTCAGGAGAGCGAGAAGAGCATTGTGTCCAGTTTAGAACACGGCATCTGCTGTTTTCTGCTTACCCATAATTTATTGATCCTTCATTGGGGGAAATAGTCAAATGAATGACACCAAGACAAATATTCATATGATCTCAAAGGATTTCAATATTTTTGTGGCTGGCCACAAAACAATAATTACTTGGTTTCTGTTGCTGAAACAGTTGACAATGTTGAACTCCCTTGAAAGATTCTGTTTTCAAAGATCACCATGTCGTAGTAAGGATTACATTGTTTTTTGTGCAAGTAAAATGAATGCAGGGTTGCGGATGTAACTATACAAAGTTGTATTTTATTAATTTAGAGAATTAATGGGAAAAATCACAGACTTTAATATTTGCTAGGCCGGCCCCCTGCCTGCTTTCTTTTTGCCAGCAGGCAAATACATTTTATTTAAGCAGATTTTTAATGTATCGGCAGTGATGTTTTATTTACCTTTTTCACATGTTTGTTGTCAAAATGGTCTTAAAATGTTTCATGTGTTGGATTTGATTATTTTTTAAATTTTATTGTAAATATTTTTTATTTTTAATGTAATCAACTATCTCCGAAGTCATTGGAGAAATGAAAGAAAGAAAGAAATGAAAAGATTCTTTATTTCCTTTGCTTCTTTTACTATTCAGATTTTGACTGCAAATTCTTTAAAAGAGTTGTCTTTTAAATTATTCTGTAATGTTCTGTATATTTTGATGTGCAAAATTCTTTAAAATTGAAATATTCAGAAATTGATATGCTATCCATACAAGAAAACCTTTTACATTTTAAAGTGGTGTAGGACATTGTTCTATATTGTTTCAATGTCTGTAGTCAGTGTAAAAAAATTCCATACATTTAAAGAACTCAGTAAATATTGTTTTGTTTTGTTTTTTTTAAAAAAATCAAGATTGCAATCAATGTATAATTTAAATTTAAATCTCTGGGGAATAATCTAGTGCACAAATAATTATAAATATTTGGGCTGCAGGAATAGGAGAGAAGCTATTTTAAAATAGCAGATGATTGTAAAATTCAGCAAAAATAATTATGAAATAATCTGGTACTGCATTCAATTAATATGCTTAAAAGATAAAATTGGCAATTTCATTATTTTCCTCCCCAAAACAGGAGACTCTGGAGTGTGGGGTTTGAAGAAAAACTTTGCTCTATTAGAACTCCTGGAGCGACTGCAAAATGGGCTTGTTGGTCAGTGTGGATCAAATGAAGACACTATTGGCCTTTCTGGAGAGGTACTGACAGTTCACTTTAACCAACAATAATATTTTATTATAAATGTAAATTTCAGTTTAGTTTTTGCTCATCTTGAAGTTTTTTTGTTGTTGCTTTTTTATGTGATTGCCCTTATCAGTTTTATATAAAGATTTGATGTTATTTTAAGTGTTTTACCATTATGCTTTTTTGCATTGTTAATAGAGCAGCATAATTTTGTTTTGTAGGGAAATAAATTCAGAAGTACCAAGTAATACAGAGCTCTCAGAACTTCAGATTGTAAGGGAGTCGAAAGTATATATTTTACATGAGAGAGCATTCAGATAATTCCTGTACACAATAAACAGATCTAAACATAAAGGAAATTAGAGCTCACCCTTCTGATATCTAAACTTTTCATGGGTAGGGAGCTTCTGACAGAAGGAAACTTTTAAATGCAGGCAATCTCCAAGTTATGAACTTGATGGGTTCTTAAGCTGAATGTGTAAGTCAGAACAGGTAAAAAAATTTTAAAAGTGAGTGAGTGTATGTGAATGAGGTCCAATACTTTCATCATTGGCATTGTGAGGATATGTCATTGAAGAGCAGACCGTATGATTATTGGATAAAAAGTGAATGTGTTTTTCTTTTCTTTTAGTGTATCATCCGTTGCGATGAAGACGATACTCACCTTGCTTCCGTATACTGCACTGTGTGTGCCACTCACCTCTGTGCAGAATGTTCCCAGCTTACACATTCTACAAAGACACTAGCAAAACACAGGCGTGTGCCACTTGCTGATAAACCTCATGAGAAAACAATGTGCTCTCAGCACCAGGTGCATGCTATTGAATTTGCATGCTTGGAAGAAGGTTGTCAAGGCAGCCCCCTTATGTGTTGTGTCTGCAAAGAATATGGAAAGCACCAGGGTCATAAAGTAGGTTTTCTGTGTGCTTTTTTCCCTCTGTTGCTTCACTGTTAACACAACTATTAGAAGGAAGGGGGTGTATATCTTTCTTCTTTACTTGATAATATTTTTGTTCCCTTTTCTGTTTTTCATATTACTGCTTCCTAAGTTATAGGGTATTGGGCGCTGATAAGGTGTTTTCCCCATGTGCCAAGAACCAGTAATGTATTTGTGCCCATTGAATATGATTTTATTCCATGGAAACGTGCCATGAAACAGCTCACAGATGAGCACCAGTCCACAGGCCACCTTTATTAATTACTTAATTAATTATTACTACTATAATAATGCCTCTTCCACTAAGAATCTTAATGTTTCTTGGCATTTGGTATCCTGACACGGGCTGTTGTAGGTTCCAGTTCAACACAATCTAGAGCAGGCATGGGCAAACTAACTTGGGGGGCGCATGGTGGGCCGGAGTGGGGTGGGCAGGCTGGGAGGTAGGAGGTTCTCCCCAAGTCCCCTCCTTGCCCTTGAGACGGTAGATGGAAGAGAAAAAGTGTATCCATTAGACCACATATTGTCTACTCCTGATATAGAATCCTAGAGTTGGAAGAGGTCCCAAGGGCAATCCATTCCGACCCCCTGCCATGTAGGAAGGCACAATCAAAGCACTCCCAATAGACAGCTTCTGTGGAAAAGCCTCCAGAGAAGACGACTCCACCACACTCCAAAGCAGCCTATGCAACTCTCCAACAGCTCTTACTCTCAGGAAGTTTTTCCTAATCTTTTCAGTCAAATCTCTTTCCCTGCCATTTGAAGCCATTGCTCCCTTGTGTCCTGATCTCTAGAGCAGCAGATCATTTCCCCCCTTCTCCTCAATGGGACACCCTTTTAAATCTTGAAAGATGGTTCTCATGTTCCCTCTCTGCCTTCTTTTCTCTTCTCACAGCTAAAAATCCACCAGAAGGAAAGGAGGGAGGGAGGATAGGAAGGATGGAAGGGATGGAGGGAGGATAGGAAGGATGGAAGGGATGGAGGGAGGAAAGAGAGAAGGAAGGAAAGACAAAAGGGAAGGAAGGAGGAAGAAGGAGAAAGAGAAGGAGGAAGGAAAGAGGGAAGGGAGGAAGGAAGGAAGGGGAAAGAGGGAGAGGGAAGGAAGAAAGGACAAAAGGTGGAAAGGAAGGAAGAAAGGGTGGAAGGGAAGGAAGGATGGAAGAAGAAAGAGGGAGGTAAAGGAGGGAGGGAAGGAGAATGGTAAGAGAGAAGGAAGGAAGGATAGGATGGTGAGAGAGAAGGGCCTGAGAAAAAGAGCCCAAGGGGCCACATCCAGACTCCAGGCCTGGATTTGCCCATACCTGATCTAGAGGGATGCATGATGCCCACCCTTGGGTTAAATTTAGCTGTTTCCCATCTGGAATAGACTTGTATGAATGACATTTCGATTGATTCAGTGAATCTACAGTAATTTAGTTGGTATCAATCCTTCTATTTAGGCCTAAAGCCGTATGACTCACCAGAACATTGTTTGTTTTGAATGCTATTCTGCAGTCTCATCTAGGATTGTTACCAGTTAATTTGGAGTTTGAGCTAGAATGGCATACAAAACCTATATTTCTTTTTTAATATAATATTTCAATAGAAACCACTCTGCATGTACTTTAATCTGAATTGGTTTTAATATTAATTATGTTTAATACTAAATATGTTTTAATAGGTGTATATTTGTATACTTTAAACCGTATTGTAATGCTTTGAATGTTAGCCACTTTGAGTCTCCTTGTGGAGAGGAAAAGCGGGATATAAATAAACATAATAATAATAATATTTCTGCATTTTACCTATCATTTGTAAAATATAGTGAGGCTATATAATTTCTCACAGTAAAGATATACAATGTAAATTGTATTATCTATATTTATACCCTTATACAAGGTATTTAATTCAGAGGGTTCAAAACTTCTGTCTCTTAATAAAAGTATGCATCCAAAGAGGTACAGATGGCAAAAAGCAAGAATTCCAGGAAAGGATTTCACACACACTTTTAATGCTTTCCCTTTAGCACAGTGTTTTGGAACCAGAAGCCAACCAGATCCGTGCTTCCATTTTAGACATGGCTCATTGTATCAGAACTTTCACAGAAGAAATTTCAGATTACTCCCGGAAATTAGTTGGAATAGTTCAACAAATAGAAGGAGGAGAACAGATAATTGAAGATGGCATTGGAATGGCCCATACTGAACATGTAAGCAGTTTTTTGTTTTTCTTCTTAAATAGTGTACCATGCAGCATGATTGGCTGCTTTTTAAAAACTGCAAATCCAAGTTTCACCTTAATGTGTAAAACTGGCCTTTTCTTATATAAATTTATTATTAATATTTTGATACTCCAGATACTATTTCTGGCTCTTTTGATACAAAGACCGATATTTGTGTTGTGCAAGAATGGTAATGTTGGTTGTTAAGTATTTGTCATGGAATTATCTAAAGAGCCAGAGACCCAACTGATATTTGTTTGTTATTTGTTGGAGGATTTTTTTGCTACATTTTAATGATTATGCACAGCCTTTATTGTTGTCACAGTAATTTTGTGACACATAGATCTGTGCTATTTTTATTATTTATAGATCTGAAGATCTTCATTAGCATTTGAAGGTGGTCAGCTGAAACATTCACACCTACCTCTAGCAGAGAAGAGCTCTTTGCCCCACCCCAGCCATTCCACAGATATATAAACCCATTGTCCTATTTCCAATAGACCTCACTACCTCTGAGGATGCTTGCCATAGATGCAGGCGAAACGTCAGGAGAAATGCCTCTAGAACATGGCCCTATAGCCCGGAAAAAACCCACAAGAACCTAGTGATTCCAGCCATGAAAGCCTTCGACAATATATTATTAATTCATTTTCCATATGCAGAGTAATATGTGTGTGTGTTTGTGTGTGGGTGGGTGTAGCATTAATATATAGTCTTGGATGAAACTGATATATAGAGAGAAACAAGGGCATATATAATGTGGAGTATTCTGCTTCTTCCGGCTAAATTGATTCAGAATCAGCACAGTGTATGAGACACAGAGAAGCAATGACATTTGAAAATAGGTTCTTTTTGTCCTGTTTTAAAGTTCAAAATGTGCAGTACTGCCCTTCCTTTCAGTTTTCTCCACAACAAGACAGGCTAGTAACATTTTAAAACTGAAGACTATTAGTTCTTGAGAGAGATGATATATTTAACTCAGGCTATAGAAAATACATTTGTGTAGTCAATAGAAGTGGTAAGGAGAATCTAGTCTCATGTACGGGAGATGAGAGGTGTGTAGCAGCTTCATGGCTTATCTCTTTGTTTCCAGGTCTCAGGTACTGCAGAAAATGCTCGTTCTTGTGTCCGGGCCTATTTTTCTGACCTTCACGAGACCCTTTGCCGCCAAGAGGAAATGGCGCTTAGTGTGGTTGATGCCCATGTACGAGAAAAACTGATCTGGCTTAGGCAGCAACAGGAAGATATGACTATTCTGTTGTCACAAGTTTCAACAGCTTGTCTTCACTGTGAAAAGACTTTGCAACAGGTAGGAAAATCTTTGTATTGAAATCCATATGAATCTTGGGTTCTCGCTTTCAAGATGCCAATATTAATTATCTGGGAAAGTTTAGATCTTGATCATTCTGTAATTTACATGTAATCTAATTACTTTGAAATGTTGATTTTGCAAATATTGGTTTGAAACTCCTTAGTGGATAAGAAACATTTTTTGAGTAAGTGGGCAGGAATGAACATTGGATCACAAGATATCTGAGTTAAAAGTTGGGCCTGAACTAAATGTTGATGTCAGACAGTAGTTCTTTTTTAGTAAAATGCTTAAAAGCCGTCTGTCTGAAATGTGAGTGAAATAAATAAATAAACAACAAAATTGATTTTTCAACTGGCATTGCTTTTTAATTCCACCTCTGTTAAATCTATTGTGAATGGGTCTAATTCAGTTTTTGTTCATGATAAGAAAATTCACTTCATGGTTTTTCCCAGCTGAGTAGAACAGGACCTTTCTTGTCTTAGTTACTGTATCGTAATGCTTTGTCTTGTGTAGCTAGTGTTTATTGCCTTGTATTTCTGCAAACTTTCAAATTTGCTAAAGTTACAGCAGGATTTTAAATCTGCTTGAGCTAAAACTCTATTTTAATTTTATTGTTGATTAAAGTGTTATAGATGTCTCCAAGTATAGGCAATTGTTCAGATGGATTTAAGAAGGAAAACACATAAATGTTGGTATGTAATTAACATTAAGTTAATTTTTCTTTCAGGATGATTGCAGAGTTGTCTTGGCTAAACAAGAAATTACAAGATTTCTAGAAACTCTACAAAAGCAGCAACAACAATTTACAGAGCTTGCAGACCACATACAACTTGATGCTAGTATTCCAGTTACTTTTACAAAGGTACAATCTTATAATGCTTAGAACACTTCATGATTGTGAGTGTGAATACAGTTAGAAAATACCTTTTGGTCTATTCTTTGCCTTGGAAATATATGTACTGATTTGAAGTGCAGGCTCTTCAGTTTTGAAACCCCCAGAGCTGGAGATGAGCACTATCTCCAGAGCTGGTGATGAAGGGGAAGCCTTTACTTTTATCTGTGTATTTGTTTCATTGTTTTGAGGCATTGTGTCTGTATATGCTGGATTCCATCCTGAGTCCCCTCAGGGAGGTGCGGTGGAATACAAATAAACTGTTATTATTATTCCAGTTAATTGTCATCCCCAAATGCTTCCCTCCCCAGAAAAGTTTTTATCTGCTTTCTAAAGGATAACAGGGAAGGGAGCCATTCTGATATCCTTTAGGAGAGAGTTCCAAAGCCGAGGAGCCACGGTCAAGAAGGCCCTCTCGTTTCCACCAGTCAAACCTGAGACACGGGTGGGAAGGGGTTAGGGAACTTTTCTTCACCTGAGTTGAGGAGGGATTTTTGATCGTGGATAACTATCCAGAACAACAGAGAATGCAACATGAAGGAACTGTAGATTCATTCAGAGTATATTTTTGGCACAGTTCAAGAAAAGTATCCCTTCAAATGAAACTTCAGTATCACAATTAAGATGCAATGTCAGAGATTTTAAAAGTTCAGACATTCTTATGCATAAAATAGGGATTGCCAAACATTCTTCTGACTATATTACAGTGGAAGCCACTGTAGAAACTACCTTCACTGTTTTGGCTACTGAACCCTTAAGGCACACAAATCCAGAGTGGTGCATAACTTTTTTTCATTTAGCTTTTTCTTGTCTTACCAGTTCATGAAAATTAAATTGGGAAGCACACACAATACTTCACAGTAAAGTTTTCCTTTGCTACAGCATTTGGACCTGAAGAAAGGGGGGGGGGGGGAATACAATGTCAAGGCTCTATTTTTTAAAGAAAGCTTTCCTCTCTTCTGTAGGATAACAGGGTACACATTGGACCAAAAATGGAAATCCGGGTTGTAACTCTTGGACTAGATGGAGCGGGCAAAACAACAATTCTGTTTAAACTAAAGCAAGATGAATTTATGCAACCTATTCCAACAATAGGCAAGTAACAACATTTACAGAAACTATGAATTTCAGGTACATAAACTTGGTATTGGAAATGTATGATTAAAGGCCTGTTCCCTTCTTAGGTTTTAATGTTGAAACTGTTGAATATAAAAATCTGAAGTTCACTATTTGGGATGTTGGTGGTAAACACAAGCTACGGCCTTTATGGAAACATTATTACCTCAATACACAAGGTAAGAGTGCAGTAGTTTTCCATTAATAAATTTGATAAAACACAATATAAAATTCACAGTTATTATTAAATTATGTTTAAAAGAAGATAATGTTTTATTTACGATGTAATGTGTAGTCATACTTATATCTGGAGTTTACTCATATGTTCCTTGGAAATCCTGGAGAAATGCATTTCAAGAGGAAAGTTTAAAACTTCACTGTTGAGAAGTTACTTTGGTTTCCTTGATTTTTCTCTAAGTTTGTGCTGGGCTGTAATGGGATTAATCAATGACCATTTTAAATGTTGGTTTGAGTCTAGAGTTGCTGTTCTGTGTTAAGCCTCTTTCCATTTATGGCAGCCACTGGTCCGCAGTGCCATCTTCAAAACAAGTGGTTAGCAGTCTTCCAAATTGCAAGCCCTTAATACAGTTCCTCATGTTGTGGTGACCTCCAACCAAAACATTATTTTTGTTGCTACTTCATAACTGTAATTTTGTCATCTGGGAATTGTAGTTGCTGGGTTTATAGCTCACCCACAACCAAAGAGCATTCTGAACACCAACAATGGAATTGAACCTATCTTGGCACACAGAACTCCCATGACCAACAGAAAATACTGGAAGGATTTGGTGGGCATTGCCTTGAGTTTTGGAATTGTAGTTCACCTACATCCAGGGAGCAGGAGGAGGGCTTTTGGTGGGAGGATTCGCCGTTTATTTCCAAAAGGAAAGAGAAGGACAGGTGGAGAGATCTTCAGCCTTCTCTGCCAAAGGGATTCCTAAGACCACCAGAAATATGTTTTTTTCTGCTGGTCTTTGGTAACCCCTCTGAAACCCCCCTTGTGCCCCCCCCCCCATGGGGCCCAACCCTAGGTTGAGAATGCAGTTATGTTCTAAGCCCGTGATGGCGAACCTATGACACGCGTGTCAGCACTGACACGCATAGGCATTTTCAAAGACACGCGGCCACATAGCGCCAAATCCCGAAGAGCACGCCCCTGGCTGGTTGCTTGCTTGCTCGCTCCTCCAAACAGTCGAAAGAGAGGGAGAGAGGGAAAAAAGTGTGCTGTCTCTTTAAGGCAGGAGCGCGTCGCGGGAGAAAGGATCCTCCGGCCCTGCCCCTCGCCTGCCAATCACCCGGCTGCGCCTTTGACATGGCCGCTTTTGGTGAAGGGAGTCTCTGCCCGCGCGCGCACACACAGGCGCACGCTTGGTGGTTGGGGTCTTTTTTTCCTCCTCCTCAGCTCAACCCATCCAGTGGCGCTGCTGCTTCTGTCTCTCTCTCTCAGGCTGGGCTGGCAGCTAGTCAAACTTTCCTGAGGCAGGAGGGCCAAGTTAGGGAGTTTCCTGCAGCCGCTGGCCCCTTCCTGCATTCCCTCCTCTCTCTTCCTCCCTTTTCCAGATTCTCCCTTCCTTCCTTCCTTCCTTCCTTCCTTCCTTCCTTCCTTCCTTCCTTCCTTCCTTCCTTCCTTCCTTCCTTCCTTTTCACTGCAGTTTTTAGATCTCTCCTCCCATCCCAACATCCTTCTGACCGTATATTCCTGTTCTTTTCTGCCTCTCTGCTCAGGGTGGGGTGCAACAGAGCTAAAACACATAATTACAAGCAATCAAAGGCCTATATTAAAAGACATCAACCAAAGCTTTACACACATTGGGTTGCTGTGAGTTTTCCGAACTGTCTGGCCATGTTCCAGGAGCATTCTCTCCTGACGTTTTGCTCACATCTTATGGCAGGCATCCTCAGAGGTTTGTTGGAAACTAGGCAAGTGGGGTTTATATCCCTGTGGAATAACGTCCAGGGTGGGAGAAATGACTCTTTCTCTGTTGGAGGCAAGTGTGAATGTTGCAATTGGCCACTTTGATTAGCACTAAATGGCCTTGCAGCTTCAAAATCTGGCTCCTTCCTGCTCAGGGGAATCCTTTGTTGGAAGGTGTTAGCTGGCCCTGACTGATTCTTGTCTGGAATCCCTCTGTTTTCTGAGTGTTGCTCTTTCTTTACTGTCCTAATTTTAGAGTTTTTAAAATATTGGTAGCCAGATTATGCTCATTTTCATGGTTTCCTCCTTTTTGTTGAAATGGTCCACATGCTTGTGGATTTCAGTGGCTTCTCACAATTTTTCCCTCGACGTACTTTTGTGACACCTTATTCTCAGTGTTAAATTATTTTTTTTACATTTATCTTTACATTGCCTTAGTTTCAATACATTTTTTCTTTCACCCCTAATCCTCCCTCCTCTCCCCATTGACAAGATGCTTCTTCCTTTATTCGAGCCTTCATTGCATTCTATCTAGTCCCCCCCCCCCAATGTTGTCTTCTGGTTTAGCTTCTTGTATCCAATTTTTAAAGGATGTGTGTTAAATAATATCAATACCAACAAAAGAAACCGACTGAAGTATGAACAAAGAAGTCACTAAGCAGTTAAATAATTAGTTTTTGGGTTATTAAATACAGTTATATATTACAATTATGCATTTTTGTTATATAAACTAAATATCGCAAAATTATGGTGTTTTTTCTCTCAAAGTGGCACCCCACCTGAATTATGCTTGGTTTTTTGGCGAATTTTGACACACCAAGCTCAAAAGGTTGCCCATCACTGTTCTAAGCCCTTATGGGATGTCATTTAGTTTTCACAATGGATATATGAGGAGTGATGGAAATAAAAAATGCTTCATTTCCATAGTTTATTGCCTGTCAGATCATGACATTCACAGAATTATTCTCTATACAACCCTGGATCCAGTCCATCTTTTTGGAACTTGATGCTGTTTCTTTAAATTTTATATTTTTCATTCTTCTTCGTGCCTGTGCCAGTCTTATACACCATCTCTTTGTTATACAATGAAAATGTGAATGAAATGTAACTCTGAAAGTGTTCTCTTTCTGTAGCGGTGGTGTTTGTTATTGACAGCAGCCACAGAGACAGGGTCAGCGAGGCACACAGTGTACTGGCCAAACTGTTAACAGAGAAAGAGTTGCGAGATGCGCTGCTGCTGATCTTCGCCAATAAACAGGTATTCTGGTCCTGTCTTGCACTTCTCCATTTCCTCTCCTTGTTGTGCTTTATTTTGCTAATGTGAAATAGAAGGAAACAAAGATTATCTTTAAACTGGTTGGGTTTTTAATTCACTTATTTGGTAAAAGTAAGGCTACACCCTTTTTTTAACCCTGGTGTTTAGTTTTTTATGTCAAATTGCAGTAAAAAATTGAGCCCCCTTTTTGTCTCTCTTCGGTGTATTTTAATTCTTTCTTTCGGACAATTTTAACTCAATGAAAGAGTAGCCTGGAAAAGAAGAAATGCTTAGAGAGAGCAGAAGGAGATCTTCCCTCTGATCCATTTTTGACTATAAATAAATCATGTCTCAGTTGGTAATGCTGACAGACAGAGTTCTTAGATTCCCCAACACCTGGGTTTTTGTCTTCTCTGAGTAGTCATTCTTTATACCAGTTTCCCATGCAGGGTTTTCCTTCCTTGATCAACTTTTTCAGCCTTTGCCACTGGGTCATTAGACAGAATCCTTAGTTGAGTGATGAGATGTGAGTGAGCTAATAGAGAGCCTTTTGAAAATCCAGTATGAAGTTAGTCAGCCTTGCTAAAGTTCTGATAGTGCTGCCATGCCCATGGGTACTTGGGAACAGTTGTGGAAATCACTCCTTACCTGTCAGCACCTAATGCTTTCCACCTTCAAACAGCAACTGAGCCCCTTGTGATAAGGATGCCTGTTGGCAGAAACAGGATCCTTGCCTCAGGACCATTCCTTTCTGCTCTAAGCTGTATTGAACACAATTGTGGTCCACGTTTTCAATCCACTGTTGATTTTTCCTTCCCTTCTTTTAGCACTGTCTTTCTTTCAACACAAGCCATTCAAATATAATACGATCACACTCAAATTACTATTTGTCTTCGCATTTAATAAATATGTCGCTTTCCTTTGCAGGATGTAGCAGGGGCACTTTCCATAGAAGAAATCACAGAATTGCTGAGTCTTCATAAACTCTGCTGTGGCCGTAGCTGGTACATTCAAGGTTGCGATGCCCGAAGTGGCATGGGACTGTATGAAGGACTGGACTGGCTGTCCAGGCACCTGGTAGCTGCAGGAGTACTGGATGTGGCTTAAGGCCCTACTATGAGAGGCATTAAACTTGAAGATCTGTTAATTTATTTGTGTGACTTAAGTAGTCAAAGATGAATTTCTCATCTGATTTTCTTACAGGAACCAACTAACAGTTTTGCTGGAATGCTTATTGAAGTGTAGTAAAGTGAGTGTGTAATTCCTATAAATTATGGTAACCAAGTAACGCAGTGGATTTGCAGGAAAGGTGCCTTGTGTCTTCTAAAGAAAATGAAATATAAAAGGTCTTCAGCTTTCCTATTATCAGATTAATCCATTGTTAACACTAGTGCTTTCAGGAGTTGGCATTTATTTCACCTTTTTTCAGAGTTGAATTTATTGCATTGTTTTCAGATTGGAGACACATGTAGATTTAGACCTTTGACAACAGTCTTCCTTTCCTCCTCTTCCTCTCTATAGCAGATCCCTCTCCTGAAAATGCTACACAGTGGGTTGAAGGGCCATATGAATGTGATAAGGTGCCTGAAAAAGTTCAGGGTAGATGCCTGAAAATTGGGTAAAAGCACCTTCCTTGAACAGCCCTGCTGCCTATGGAAACCAAATCTTGGGTCCAATACTGTGTTTCTCAGATCCAAAATATACACTTCCTTCAGTACTAACACTGCCAATATTTGTCAAAACATGTGCAATTGTAGCATGGACTGAATTGTCCAATTTTTATTTTTATGGCTTTTTGCCTCTGCTTGTTTTAATTCCAAAACTCAAATGTGTGTCTTTAGCAGATCAGAGCACTGGTTTTGGTTTGGGATACCAGCTCTCTACGGCTTTTCTGAGCGGCTGCCCTACTCTCCTGTGCTTTCAGTTATATAGTTCATAGGTGAAGATATTCATTTATTTTTCTTTTTACATATTGAAAAGATTGTGCCACTCATTACAGAGTCACTTTTTCTTTTGGACTGTCAGTTATATAGTATCTGTGAGTGATGCTACTTTCTAAAATTATGTCAATAAAACACACATTTTTTTCCTGTTACGTATAATAAAAATGTAGGAACAGACATTTACAGTAGCCATACATTTAACATTGTGAAAGTTAAAGTTATTTAGTCAGACATTTTATATGTCAAAGAAATAGTACTTCAAAAAGCTGCTGTGGATTTTATTTTGGCTAATCTGCTTGATTTAAGGGGTTGTGATTGGAATGCCTGAACAGATAATATTTTGTACCTTTTATTAGCATGATATAATTGGTTTGCTGAATTTTCAGTTGCTTGAAATCTTTTCCTCCCTCACTGATGGACTTCTTGAGGCATTAGAATTACCAGGAGCAGTATTTATTAAATCCAGCAGTGAATGTCTGTGTTGTAAGAGTGATTTACAAAAATAAATGCTTTTCTTGTGCAGGTATTACTTGTGGTGTGATGGACACAGGCTTTTTTGTGTGTGAAATGGAGCTGCAGATGGGAGAGAGCAATAGAAGGACAATGGATATAGTTCAGATAAGAAAACAAAAACTCATGGTCTATTAAGAGGCTAGTGATGTGACAGCAGGAGACTTGTATATAATTAAGCCAGAGAAAGAGAGTTAAAGAATAAACAGTTGCATTGTGGGCAGAGGAATGTTGCATTTGACAGAGAAAAGAGCAGAAGAGTAGGGTGAATTGGTGAAGATGATTTCTGAAAGTTGGAGCCTTACAGGTTGTTCTACCCTGGTTTCCTCGTTGACTTTCTACCCTTTATTTGCTTGCATATGAATGTGGGATCCCAAGTTGTTCCTGCCCCTCATTGCATTATCCAAATGGAAGATGTTCTTAAGAGAAGGCAACCCCATTGCCTTTCAGATAAAGCAGCATTAAGAATAATGTCTGATTTTCTCCTGATGTTGTGAGAAAGAGATCTTTATTGGTAGCCAATCAGAACTCAACTATTTTTAGTAAATTGTTGAAAGTGCAAACTAAATGTGTCTTATTGGAGGTCTTCACAAATGACTTTTCATTGCAACTAAGAATAGAACTTGTCATCAATTTGTAATTGTATTGTTTTTATAAAACTGCATCATTTGCAGTTCCCTTCTCCCTCTGACATTTCAGCAAAGGACCTGAATGTCCTACGCTGTGTCTTGAGTCAAATGCTCATTTGATAGCACATTTCATTTCCGTTCCTCCCACCAAACAGATCAATCATGCTTTATCTTCAGAACTTTGTGATGAAAAACAATGTAAAAATCTTGAAAGTATGAACCATTTTTTCTTGCACGTACTCATAACAGAAACATAGTTTCTGTGTCAGTTTGACTTGCTTTTGATCCTGCTTAAAGATGGACTGAACCTTGACTTCAACTTGCACGTGTCTGTCTTTGCCATGAAACCAGTCAATAGTTCTGCATTTTTCCCTAATGTTAGACAGTGTGTGAATGAGGAAAGCTCTGAATCATGATTGTAGCAGTTCTTGTTAAGTTTGCAGTCTTTATACTTATTTCTGAATAACCTTGTTCAAAATACGTGATAGTAATTGCAGGGGTAGGATATAAATACCTGATGGCAAAGATGCAATTGGAGCAGTGGGAGTCAGACTTGATGCTTGTATTTCTGGAATGAAATCATGCCAACTAGTGGATCTTATAAGCTACAAGCACAGTTATTATTATTATTTACAGGATTTATATGCCACCCTTCTCACCTCGAAGGGGACTCATGGCAGATCACAGAACACATAGGCAGCAAACATTTAATGCTGTTAAACAGACAACAGATAGAGGTATTATGTTGCCATTTTTTTCTAACTTCGGTGTCCTGGAGGTTGTGCTTGATTCTGGCCACGGGGGGTGCTGTTGCTCCATCTTCTATGACAAAGAGCCTTGATCACAGACTTCCTCCTTCCTTTGATTGCCGGGATTTTCTCATATTGTGTTTATGGTTGTAAAATACCTCCCCGCTTAAGTGATGCCTAATTTCTCTACTCACTGCTCACAGCTGTTTTCAAACTGCTTAGGTGGACAGTAAGCTGGGCTGAAGGGCTGAAGGTCGGGTGCTTACCCAGACCCGGGCTTTGAACTGTCAACCTTCCGATTGGCAAGATCTATTGCTGCTGGTGATTAACCAGCTGTGCTAAAGCCCGGCCCTTTGTGATGCTAAAGTAGCATCACAAACTGTGTTAAATGTTACTGTGTAGCATCACAGTAACATTTAGCACAGAGTGCTAAATATAATCTGTCATTAAGTTATATTAAGATCCCACGATTGAGGTTCTGCTTGTAATGGGAGATCATATTTCCTCCGAAATAATTTGTTTGTTTTAAAGAACCCAGGTCACTGGAATGGAATGTATTTTTTCTGTCTGATTAGCCAGGAGGATTCTCACCCACTTCCTTTCTTACATACATAAGCACAGTTGTATTATTCATCAGAATTTAAAAGTGCTTGCAACTGGCAAGTTGGATAAATGGTTGAAGTGCCAGGTGAACTGACTTCAGTTTAAAAAAAATATGGTATACTGCACTCTTCTGGGGGAGTCCTTTTGACTTCAGTTGTAGTCAATTGAAAATTAGGCCCCCAACCAATCAGATATATGGCCCTTGTTGTTACAATTGCTCTGTCTGCTTTTGAGAAAGAAATTACCTCTTCTAAATTGGCTTTGTGAATCCACCAGCTGAAACTTCTTCAGGTCCTTCATCAACTGTGCTTGTAAAGATGGTTCTCAGTAGTAAGGTCTATAGTTGTAGAAATGACTGAAGCTACATCTGAAATCTTGCCCACAGTCACACTGCCTTCCAAATCTTACCTCCTCCTTATCTCTTGTCCAAGACACAAAGTTGCTCACAATATTAAAAGACAACACAATTTAAAATCCAGAGCAACTCTGGGTTGAATATCTGAATTAAAGCTCTGTTATTTTAGTTGCGTAAATAAGATCTTAAGCAACACAAAACCATACATTTCAATTAGTACTTTGTAGCCATTCTTAACCTATTCCTGGTTTCTGCCTCTTCCCTACACTCAGTTTGTGTTTAAGATGCAAAATGTATTTATTTCAAAGAGAGACTTGTGCAATATCTTACTGCTGAAGTAAGTAGCCTCACTCATTGAGGGTATGCAGTAAAACTTAGACATGTTTAGTTGGATCTAATGAATCTTTCTCCCAGGTAATTTTACAGAGCATTGTAGCTTTTGCTACAATGAAATTATAGCTAGTGAAATGATCCATGTTAAGTTGATACATAAAAACATTGCCAATTTTGTTTGCCTGTTTGAGCATACCTGGGCATGAAAGACTTCAAAATGAAAAACACTTTGCTGTAATTTCACATTCTTCAGATATTTGATGGTCTTTCTTAGATGCCATCTTGGATTAAAAATACATAGAGCATACAGTAGTCCATAACAAATTCTAGGGTTAAATGTAAGCACAACTATGCTAACATAACTGATATAAAAGCCTTCTTGTATGGCGTCTCTTTTCATTCTTTTGATTCTTTAGATGAAGAGATGTCTGCATTCTGTGTCTCTTAAGTGAAGTCATAAATGCAGCCTTCTGATTTATTACAAGGGCTGGATACGAGTTTGCAACCCTCCGAACTAATTATTTTCTTCTTCAATAAATAACCTTAAAGTATACAAGGCGAAGAAGTGAAGTCTGTTGTGTGTGTAAATAATCTGAAAACATTTTATTATACTCACAGAAGCCACTTTCACATTGGTATTTTTAATAGTTACACTAGACTATTTTATCTGAAATGCAGCAATTTGGAAAGCTACACGTGAATCGTTAGTTCTTCGGCTGATTTTAGGACACTGGAAAAATAGTTTGGCAAAGATCTTAATTCTTTAATACAGACAAAAGTCAAGCTGTGCTACAAGTGTGGTTTGCCTGCATAAGTATTATTTTAATTACACTGAAGTTGACTGTGAAAACAGGTATTGCAGCTGTTTGGATTCAAGTTTTACCAGATTCACATAGCAACTTGTTTGTAATAACTTCAGTTATAAGCTTAAGCTTGTTTCATATGTCACTGAGCTTTAAATTCACTTTAGTGTACTAATGTGTTGCAGCTTTTAAGTGTGTTTAAATTCCATTTTTAAAAAAATGCTAGTATAGGTTGTTTTTAAGAGCAAA